GTTTGGGCAAAACAGATCAATGGGCTGGCATTTGTAAAGGCCAAGTGTTGATTGCAGAGATAAAATGCTCGGTGGGGACTGAGCCTGGCTGGTTATTTTTAGCATTTCCTCCCTTGTGTTTCAGGATGTGCCTGTGCCTCCTCTCATGCTGGAATGACAAGATATTAATCCCTGAGCAAAGGCCTATTAATCACCTGCTTTATTCTGTTTATGTAATACAGTTAAATATACTCTGGGAGCATGTGAGGTTTGGGCCCTGGAAATGATTTCACCTCACTCAGGCTTTTTTAATTTTTTTTTTGATTGATTGGTTTCACCAGTGGCAGCTGCCCCATATCTGATTTTTTGATTTCATCTCAGGCTGATTGATCAGTAAAATGCCTTCATTTATCTGCTGTTGGCATTTAAGCCACAAAAGCAGCATCTGCTCCTCTCTGCCTCCCTCCCCTGTGCCAGTGATGCCATTTTGCACAATTTTAGACTAAACAAAATTCCTGACTGCACAAGGAGAAGGGAAGAAAAGTGTCATTGAGGCTTTGCAGGGGAATCTCCTGGAATTCCAGGCTGGTTTGGGTTGGAAGGGACATTAAAGCCCATCCTATTTCCAGTACCCCAGGTTGCTCCCAGCCCTGTCCAACCTGGCCTTGGACATTCCAGGGATGGGGCAGCCCCAGCTTCTCTGCTGCAAGGCACTCTCCATGTGGTGGTGGGTCAAAAATATTGATTTTCTGTGTGTTTTGCTGGTTTTCTGCTCTGCTTTCATCTAATAGCAACTATATTTGTGTGAATTTCAGGTTTTTGGCATGAATGGTAATAAACTTAGCAGCTGAAAGCCTTGAGCAGAGCTATTTGATCCTGGTTGTGTTACTAAAGAACACAAAAGTATTTATTTCTGGCTTGCAGGTAGGGAGCAATACTTGATGGCGCATTGAGCTGTGAAATTTGTGTCAGGAAAGAGGGAAAACCCTGCTGAGCCTTATTTCTGTAGGGAAATGCTCACAGGAGTAGTGGAGAAAGTGCTAAAAAACAGTTTTTAATTCAATATGAGCTGGCTTAATTCAGCCAGTACACCAAAATTATGTTGATATTTTTGATGTGAGGATATGCAAAATTAAGTCTTGAAGCTTTACAGTGTGGTAGCTGATCAATTTACACTTCTAATGACTTGGAAAGACTTTATTTAATGGCACTGGAAGAGTCATAAGAGAATGAAAAGAGTAAGAAATGGACAGTGGTGTTATTTTCAGATATTCGGTGTAATGCTGGCTGATTTGGGGGCTGGTCAGTTGGGGAAATTGGGAATTTTGGAGAAGTGTGTGATTTGAAGTTACCTGAGGAAGCATCTCCTACATGGGCAAATCTCTCTAGCAATTCACCTCAAGACAATTCAAACTGCAAAACATGTGTAAAGGGGAAAAAAAAAAAAAAGCTGTTTTTTTTTCTTTTAAACACGTCCTCTGTTTACTATGCTGTTCAAATAATGTGATCACCAGGCACTGATTTTTGTCAGCTGCTTACAGCCCTGGGTTCTGTTTGCTGTGGGGCCACACCAGCAGCAACCTTTGCCTCCCACGAGGTGGAAATTGGGCTGAAATATTTGAATATTGGCAGAAAGTTACCACAATTATTACAACTTAAATATTGTGGGCTGAATGCTGGAGTATTTCCCTTTTTTCCAGTTAAGTTTTAATGGGATTTCCTAAAACTGAGAGATCACATCTAGGCTGCTCTTTCCTGTGTCACAGCAGGCAAATCAGAATGTTAGGTGAGGATTCAGAAATCTGGATTATTCCTTCATGCTTACTTGAAATTCCCATGGGAAACTGATGTTTTCTCTCTGAATTATTTCTGGCAGCCCTACCTGGAGTAATTACAGCCCAGGCAGCATCAAGGGAGGAGTATTTGCTTCAGTGAGTGAAACATCTCCACTTAGGAAGTCAATAATGCTGCTCTGGCAAGGCTCAGACCACGAGAACACTGTAATTCATCCCCTAAGGGTTTTGAACAGCTTTTTCCTCCTGTTCTGCATCTCCCCTGAGGAGGAGATGGGAGTGCAGGATGCACTTGGTGCCTTCTTGTGTGGAAAATGGAATATCCAGGTTAGGAAGGCATCCTCAGAGCAGCCAGCAAGGGGCTGCTGGTGCTTTTTGCAGCACTGACAGCTCCTTTGAAAGCATTCAGCATCACAGGTGTGCAGCTCCAGCAGCATCCAAAATTTGGGGGAAGGTGCACAGGGAAATGTGGGTTTGCCTTTGTGGGACACAAAGGATATCCTTTGATAATTCCTGCTCTCACAGAGACAGTGAGCACTGGTGCACCTCCAGCTCTGCAATGTTACATCCACCCCCACAAAAACAAATGAAAGAGTCCCCCAGGGAGACTTTTAGTGGTGATGAGGAGGGAGGATGATGTGAAGCTCACAAGGGCTGTGCTGTCAGGATGCTCTGCTGGGTGCTTGTCAGGATGTGGCAGTGCCAGCCTGCTCTGCTCTCTTCACATGGGGAGGTTGGATTGAGCCCTTTTCTCACCCAGAGATGGGGCAACTGAGAGGTGTCTGAAAAAAATTTATTCAATTTTCAGTCTCATGTGAAGGGTGAGACAATACAGTTGTTATAATTCACTCATCATAATCAGGAATTAACTATTTCTTAATTACATTTTAAGTGTTTCTTGGATTATCAGCTTTAGCCACACCATGCTGTAAATGCCTTAAAGTTTGATAATCTAAAATTACCCCTCGCGGGATAATACATCTTTCACAGTTCTGTTTCTCCAAAGTATTTAGTTTTATTTGCAAGGCCACCTTTTGAAACTTGTTTCTGGTTCCATTTCTCTCTCAGCAATGTCTGTCCCATTCCATGGCATTTCTAAGCCAATATTTCTTATCTCAAAATTTAAATACAAATCCACACTATAAAAACCTTCTATCCAACTTAAAGAATTTTCTACAAATCCCTTTCCCACAGGGAGGGATTATCCTTCTTCATGCTGTAAGGATTTATGTTCTATGGGTTTGTGGCACAGCCTGGAATGTTCTTTGATCAATAATTGCAGGAACTGGCATTGCCTTCCCTGGAATACTAAGAGCTCCAAACCCCTGGTGGTTCATTCATTCCTGGGGAGAGGAAGAAGGCTGGGAACTGACCCTGTATCCCCACCAGTACCCTGTGGAATTTGTTACTTCCTTCCCTAAGCATGGAATTCCCCTTCCCACTGTTAGCACCCACCCCCAGTTCCCTTGGATGAAGCAGGAAGGGGTGGTGGGGTGGTTCTTTTTGGGGACAAGCCCTGTAACAATAATTGAATTGTGCTTTATTTTGCATTGTTGGATGTTCCCATTTGTTTTCTCTGCTTGACTGGTTCATAGCAGCCTTTAAATAAAAGCAGTTCTGCCTCTTAGTTGAAGCAATAAATAGTCCATTTTATTCATCTCTGATCTGGAGGGAGAGGGAAAATCTCACTAGGTTCTAAAAAGATATTCTTTGATAATTCCTGCTCTCACCAAAGACAGTGAGCACTGGTGCACCTCCAGCTCTGCAATGTTACATCCACCCCCACAAAAACAAATGAAAGAGTCCCCCAGGGAGACTTTTAGTGGTGATGAGGAGGGAGGATGATGTGGAGCTCACAAGGACAGCTGGCTTTGATGCTGCTCTGGTGTGCCAGGTGTTCGGATGTCACAGCAGTGAGGACAGGGAGAGGCTGAAGCTGCAGAGATGCTGAGGCTGAGCAGAGATCAGGCTCACTCTGCACGTTGGAAATGTGGTTTTGCATCAAACCACTCCTCCACGCATTCGAAAGGGGATGTTTGGCTGGAGGATGGGTTTATTTTTAGGGTTTGGTGGTTTCAGATGTTTTTATTGGTGGGTGGCAGCGTTGACAGCACATCCCAGGGCCCAGAGCTGCTCCTGCTGCTGGGGCTGAGCACATCCCCTCACCTGGACCCTCTGTGTCATGGCACTGGGGGAGCTTTGCTTGTGCCATCTGCATTATTCATCCCTTGGCATCCTCTTGGACCTTTTTTTCAATTTTTGAGAAAATCTGGGTGTTGTGGATAGCTCAAGAGGAAGAGAGAGACCCAGGGATGCCCAAGGATGCTAGAGGAGATTTTTCCTGGCTCTGCATATTAAAAGCCACATTCCTCTTCTCTGTCTTATGCTGGTGAAGAGAGAAACAAGGATTTGAGAATCTGCTTGATTTAAGAATCTGATTTAATTCAGAATTGAGGATGTGCTGCATCTGTGTGGTGTTCACCTCATTTACCCATTGTCATGGCAACAGTTGGGAAAGCTGTCCCTGTCTCACTGATCCCAGCACTAAATCTGCTGGGTTTATTGCAGGTGGAGCAACAGCCCTTCCCTGTTCCTGCTGTAGCTCGTGGATAAATAACAGGAAAAGACTGAAATTAATCTGACATTGGCCATGTTTTTGAAAAACTGCCCTTACTTGGGGAAAACAGGCAAACGCTTCTTTCAGGTTTTAAAACTTCCTGTATCCTCAAATCAAAACCAAAACTGACTTGAAGGGCAAGTGAAACTTGACAGTGCTGTATTAAGATGAGATGCATGTGAGGAGACTTCCTGAAAAATGGACTGAAATTCACTTTTATTGCTAAAATCCTGCTGCTGGTGTTTTCTTTGTCATTTATTTCAATTTTAGTTACTGTGCTTGCTTGTTCCTGCTGCTGTTGTGTCTCTGTGCTTATTCTTGAGTTTGGAATCAAGGGCTGGTACTGGAATTTTGTACACTCCTTGCCCAGTTCTCTTCCCTCATGCACAGCTCTCTGCAAGAAGTTTTTGGATATTGTTGCAGATGCTGATGAGCCTTGGAAGCCTGGCTAATTTTTACATCACTCCCATCAGTGCTAAAGCTGTGAGAATCTGGGAATAAAACAGATTTATCTCCTCAGCAGGTCAGGCTTTTTTCTGCAGGCAGATGATTCTGGGGTTGGAAATGTGATGTGTGGAGTGGCCCCCCCTAAACTCGTGTTTTATTTCCAGGTGTGCTGACCATGCTGCCGCTGATCCCGCCCGTCTCCGAGACCCCTCTGGAGGAGCAGTTTTAGGGTTTGCTCTGCAGATCCATGGACCTGGACCCCCATGCCAGCATGCAGGTGGGGATGAGGGTAGTCCGTGGAGTGGACTGGAAGTGGGGCAGCCAGGACAGCGGCGAGGGCAACGTGGGCACCGTGGTGGAGATCGGCCGCACGGGCAGCCCCACCACGCCCGACAAGACCGTGGTGGTGCAGTGGGATCAGGGCAACAGAACCAACTACCGCACGGGCTTCCAGGGGGCCTACGACCTGCTGCTCTATGACAACGCCCAGATAGGTGAGCACAGCAGGGCACAGCCCCTGGCACAGCCATTCCTGCCCCCTGGCACACCTGCCCGAGTGCCAGCCTGCGGGGCGATGCTGGGACTGATGGGCAGGGCATTGCTGGTTCTGTCTGTGCAAAAGCTCTGCTGGAGCAGGGGCACAGCCACCTCCTGTCCCTGTTCCCGTGTGCTGGAACAGCCTTTGGCACCACCTGGCCATGGCCAGGGCATTCCTGTTTCCCTCTGTGCAAAGGCTCTGCTGGAGCTGGGCATGGGCTAGGGCACAGCCACCTCCTGTCCCTGTCCCGTGTGCTGGGACAGCCTTTGGCATCACCTGGTTTCCCTCTGTGCAAAGGCTCTGCTGGAGCAGGACATGGGAAAGGACACAGCCATCTCCTGTCCCTGTCCTGTGTGCTGGGACAGCCTTTGGCACCTCTTGGCCATGGCCAGGGCATTCCTGTTTCTCTGTGTGCAAAGGCTCTGCTGGAAGGGTTTGGCATTCTGCAGTGCTGGAAGGGTGATTCTAAGATGTTGATTTCCCCTGGAATTTGTGTGGATCTCAAAAGTCTTGTTCTTTAAGGGTGGTTCTAAGATCCTGATTTCCCCTGGAATTTGTATGAATCTCAAAAGATCATTTTCTAGAAAGTTTTTGCATTCTGCAGTGCTGGAAGGGTGATTCTAAGATCTTGATTTCCCCTGGAATTTGTGTGAATCTCAAAAGATCCTTTTCTAGAAGGCTTTGGCATTCTGCAGTACTGCAAGGGTGATTCTGAGATCCTGATTTCTCCTGGAATTTGTGTGGATCTCAAAGATCCTTTTCTAAAAAGGTTTGGCATTCTGCAGTGCTGGAAGGGTGGTTATGAAAACTTGATTTCCCCTGGAATTTGTGTGGATCTGAAAGGTCCTTTTCTGGAATGCTTTGGCATTCTGCCGTGCTGGAAGGGTGGTTCTAAAAACTTGATTTTCCTTGGAATTCCTGTGCATCTCCCATTCCCTTTCCCTCCCCCAGGTGTCCGTCACCCCAACATCATCTGTGACTGCTGCAAGAAGCACGGCATCCGAGGCATGAGGTGGAAATGCAAAATGTGCTTTGACTACGACCTGTGCACCCAGTGCTACATGAACAACAAGCACGACCTGTCCCACTCCTTCGAGCGCTACGAGACCGCTCATTCCCAGCCGTGAGTCCTCCCCACCCTCAGCACTTTTGGGGGGCTCACTTCCATCCTGGGGCTCTGCAAAACCTGCTGTGTGCACCCCGGGGGTGTGCAGAATAACAGTAGAACCTAACTTGTACGTGTCTGTGTGATTTGTAAAGAATTTCATGTCAATTTATTGGGTGGTGCATGATGTTTTCTGGGTTTTATTTGGGGTTTTATGACCAAAAAGGTTTGTTCTATAATTCTGATTTATGGGGCTCAGTTCCATCCTGGGGCTCTCCAAAACCTGCTGTGTGCACCCCAGGGGTGTGCAGAATAACCCAACAATAACTTAGAACCTTACTTGTACATATCTGTGTGATTTGTAAAGAATTTCATGTAAATTTATTGGGCGGTGCTCAATTTTTGCTGATTGGGTTTTAAAAGGTTTGTTCTATGGAATAATTCTGATTTATGGGGCTCAGTTCCATCCTGGGGCTCTGCAAAACCTGCTGTGTGCACCCCAGGGGTGTGTAAAATAACCTTGTAGAACCTAACTTGTACATGTGTGATTTATAGAAATTAATGTAAATATATTAGCCAGTGTTCAATTTTTGCTGATTGGGTTGCACTACCAAAAAGGTTTGTTCTATAGAATAATTCTGATTTATGGGGCTCAGTTCCATCCTGGGGCTCTGCAAAACCTGCTGTGTGCACCCCAGGGGTGAGCAAAATAACCCAGCAATAATTTGCAACCTTACTTGTACATATCTGTGTGATTTATAAAGAAATTCTTGTAAATATGTTGGGCGGTGCTCAATTTTTGCTGGGTTTTATTTTTGATTTTATTTATTTTTTTAATGGGTTTTATTTTGGGTTTTATGACCAAAAAGTTTTGTTCTATAGAATAATTCTGATTTATGGGGCTCAGTTCCACCCTGGTGCTCTCCAAAAGAGAGGTATCTGTGCAAAATAACCCAGTAGAACCTAACTTGTACATGTCTGGATAATTTATAAAGAATTTCATGTAAATATATTGGGCAGTGCTCAAGTTTTGCTGATTGCCTTTTAAAAGGTTTTTTCTATAGCAGAATGCCAGGCTTGGTTAGGTTTTATGAAGCTGCTTGGGAAAAAAAAAAAAAAAGGCAGCAAACAGAAATCTGCAGATTGTTTTTCTAAAGTGACAAAAGGATGATTTCTGCTCTGGTTTTTCTCTTCCTCAGCTCCCCCACAATTCAAGAATTTCTCAGACAAGTTTTGCTATTTGCTGTTCTCAGGCCAGGGATCTTGCACTCCCAAATTGTTGATTTATTTTTGGGGTCTATTCACTGAAGAGCAGCACTTTCTCACCTACTCCTGCTCTGCACATTAATTTTTTTGGAGGTGTTTGCTGCACTGATGCCTGTGGAACAGCATCTGGAATTTTATGTTCCTCATGATTTGCCAAAACATGGGAAATCTGCTCTCCTGTCCTGAGGAAGAATTCAAAAATAGTCTCACTTTTATTTGCACCTCCTAAAGTGGGCATGAAGATGAATCATGTAATCCTCTTGCCTTCAGGAGAAGGAATAAGAAATCAGCTTATCTTTGATTTGATTTTCTTTATTTTTTTCCTTTTTTTTCTTTTTTTTTTTTTTTTGCCTGTCTTTGAAATATCACTGTGCCTTGAATCCATCTGTGGAATGCCAAGTGGAATTACTGTGGTGTGGGATTTGCAGCTGCTTTTCCTGCCATGTGGGAAGCTCTGCCTGGAGCTGATTTTGCCAAGGTGGTTCCAGCCTTGGTTGAGCCAAAATTCCTGGCAGAGGAAGGATGTTCCTGGCCAGAGAATCTCCCCTTTGAGATTTGTATTTATCCACCAGATTAGGCTGTTTCTGGAGCTTTAATATGTTAAATTTCTGGAGTGTTAATACGAGAATCCAGCCAGATCCTACTGTGAAATGAGCTTCACAATTTGGTGTATCTATAAAAACACAGATCTCTATAAAAATAGACATGAGGGGTTTTTTACTCTTTCTATTAATACCAGAGTTATCTCCAAGTCAGTTACTCAGGGATGCCTGCTTGTGTCTTTTAGTTGAGCTTTAAGGTACATCATTTTACTCACTTTGAAATTAAAAATAAAAAAGGCACTGCTGCAGAGCAGCTGTTGGATTGAGCCCTTTTCTGATCCAGAGATGGGGCAACTGAGAGGTGTTTGCAAAACTTTTATTCCATTTTCAGTCTCATGTGAAGGTTGAGACAATACAGATGTTATAATTCACACCATCACAATCTGAAGTTAATTATTTCTTAATTACAATACATTCTAAGTGTTTCTTGGCCTATCAGCTTGAGCCACACAGTTCTGTAAATGCCTTAAAGTTAAGAATCTAAAATTACCCCTCGTGGAATAATACATCTTTCATAGTTCTATTTCTCCAGAGTATTTAGTTTTATTTGCAAGGCCACCTTTTGAAACTTGTTTCTGGTTCCATTTCTCTCTCAGCAATGTCTGTCCCATTCCATGGCATTTCTAAGTCAGCATTTCTTATCTCAAAATTTAAATACAAATCCACACTATAAAAACCTTCTATCCAACTTAAAGAATTTTCTACAAATCCCTTTCCCACAAGCAACCCCAATTTTCTGCCCTGTGCTGGAGTTTCCCAACCCTGCAGGTGGGAAATCCTTTGGGCAGCAGGGACCTGACGTTCCCCAGGAGCACCTGGGATGCTGTGTTTTGTAATTAAAAAATAGTCATCTTCTAATTGTAATAAATTATAACATCTGTATAATCTCACCCTTCTCATAAAACTAAAAGTTTTTAAAACACCTCTAAATTACCCCATCTCTAAGTAAAAAAAAAATAGTAAAAAAAATTCAAAATTCAAATATAAGTTAAAAAAAATTGTTGCCCCGTGTGAGGGCCCCATCTTTGCTGTAATGTAAATGTGATTTATTGGTGCAGGGCTCTGGAGAGTGCTCTGGGTTTTTGAGGATGGAATGTCCTGGTGTGAAACAAAGGGCAGGGATCACCTTTGAACAAACCATGGAGAGATTTCTGTGGAATGAGGCAGCTCTGAGCCGTGCAGGCACTGCCTCAGGCACTGCAGCATCCTTTTCAAGAACAGAAATTTTCTGCCTATGACTCACTGGGACTATTGCTTAGATCACTCATCTCTCTTCTTTTCTTTTTTCTTTTTTTTTTTCTTCTAAATAAAGTAGAAGATAAAACCTTTGGCAGTTCCTTAGGGACAAAAAGAGAAAAACAGAGTATTTTCTTTTTTTTTCCTTCTAAGTAAAGTAGTAGATAAAACCTTTGGTAGTCCCTTAAGGACAAAGAGAGAAAAATCAGAGTATTTTTTTTTTCCTTCTAAGTAAAGTAGAAGAGAAAACCTTTGGCACTTCCTTAAGGACAAGGAGAGAAAATCAGAGTATTTAAAAAGTCAGTGGTGAATGCTGTGTGGATTTGGGTTTTGCTGTTGAGCCTCCTTTAGATCCCAGGATTCTCCCAGCTCCTTTCTCTGACAGGGAGTGGGAATCCTTTGGTCCTTCACAAATTCCTGCTGCTGCCAGAGCCTGCCTGGCTGCTGAGCCATCCCAGTCTGCAGCAGGTCACTAATCCAGGATTTAGGGGGATTTAACCCCAGACAGGCCCTGCAGAGGGTTCCCAATCAGTTCTCCAAAGAGGCTTTGGAGACACCTTTACCTGAAGAGCTATTTCAGCTCTTAGAATGACCTGAGTTTGAACTTGAAGTGCTGATTTTTTTTAATTCTGCTATTTGAGGTAATCTCTTCCTGACCTCCTAATTTGTTATTTTATATTGGTCTTGTTTAGTTTGGATTTTATGGCTCTTGTGGGAGAGGCTCTCATCCTTGGCTTAAAAGGATGGAACAGCTGAGTTTTACTGAAGAGCTTTTTTCAGAGCTGTTGTATCCATTTGCTGAATATGTGCTTAGTAATTGGAAGATAAATCAGTGTCTGTGAGCAGGGCAGCAAAGCAAAGCTCATCAAGTTTCTATTAGGGCTGGAAAAGTCAGGCACATTCTGGTGACTTCTGCAAATAATCAAACTGAGACACAAAATATTAATTTTGTTCTATTCCCATGCAGCACCAACATTTTGCTTGGATCACCTGCTCAGGGCTGGGGCTGAGCTGAATTTCAGATGTGGAACAATTTACCCAGGCTATTTTCTAGCCTTCTCTCACCAATAAATCACAACCTCAGTAGTTTTTTTTGCAAGCCCTGTTTTTTTTTGGTTTTTTTTCCTGGCAAACAATGGAGCTGGAGGAGCCAGAGAGCTGCACAGGGAAATGTTTTGTGTAATCAAGCACAAGAAATACAAATATTTTCTCCCATTGTGCTTTATCCTGTAGTCAAAACAGAAATTGCAGTTATTTTCATCTGTAATTCTTAAACCAGCTCTGGCTGGTGGAGTTACCAGCTGGAGTTGGAAATCAGATCCAGGAACAAGTGTGTGCTCTGATTTAGGTCTGTGCAGTGCAAACCCTTTAATAATCCAAATTCCCATCTGTGGCTCTGAGAGCTGAGCTAATCCAGCAGCTGAGTGACAACTGCTGGGTGTTTGATTTCTGGGCAATAAAGAGATGCAGGTTTATTTACATGGTAACCTCCTCAGCAGCTGGTATTTATTAACTATTTCTTTTAATCTGCAGTGGCAGTTTGAACTAAGAAATTTGAGTGAGGAATATTTGGAATCAGATTAATTTATTATTATTATGGATTATTATTTATTATTATTTTTTTAAATCTGTTAATGAATGTATGGTTTTACTTTAGGGCAAAAACCACCATGATTTGCCAGATAAATTGCCTGTGCCTCCTTAAAAAACCCCAGCCATGAGCAGCAAGGTGTGTTTTCATACTGGGCCTTCCCTGGTGTAATTTGGATTATCCTGTTTCATTTTTGGAACAGGGATTGTGCTTCAGTGACATATTTTATCTTTATCTTTTCTGGAATGACATGATCAAACCTTCAAACAGGAGAAACCTTCACTGAACCAGCTTTAGCTGGGTTGTGAGCTAATAATGAAGTTTGGAGGATGATAATAAGACATTTTTCACTCTGTGTGCTCACTGGTGTTTCTGCATCTTCTCAGTGCAATATTCTGCCTTTAAATGCTCTGCATGAACATTTCTGGGTGAAAAACTGTCTGCAGGAACCTTTTTAGTTCCCATTTAGTAGCCTTGGTCTGAAACCTTCCCTGCTGTGGCTTTTCAGAGCAGGATTTGATCCAAATTATTTTGGGGGTTACCAAAAACCCACAGCTTTTACTGATAAATTAATGTGTTTTAAGGATACAGCTGGTTTTGTCAATAAATGTGCCTTGTCAGGGAAGGAAAGGATTGAAAAGGAAAAAATCTGGGTAGAGGCAGTTCCTGAAATAGGTTTCTGTGATCCAAATGACTTTAGGGTTACCAAAAAAACACTGATAAATTCATGTGTTATAAGGATACAGCTTGTTTTGTCATGAACTGTGTCTTGTCAAGGAAGGAAAGGATTGAAAAGGAAAAAATCTGGGTAGAGGCAGTTCCTGAGAACCAAATTACTGATCCAAATTACATTGGGGGTTACCAAAAACCCACAGCTTTTACTGATAAAGACGTGGCTATAAGGATATCTACGTGTATGATATAAGGATACAGCTGGTTTTGTCAATAAATGTGCCTTGTCTGGGAAGGAAAGGATTGAAAAGGAAAAAATCTGGGTAGAGGCAGTTCCTGAAATAGGTTTCTGTGATCCTGATCCCTCTCCAGCTCCTTGTCTTAGTCTGGTTCCTGCTTGAGCAACCAGCAGCCATCTGTCACAAGTGCCTTCCTTTATCCTCTGCTGGAAGAGTTTCAGGAGGAGCTTTGCTGGGGGGATTAGAAAACCTGGAATTTCTTGCATTGAGGTCACTTTTATCTGTAGTTCCTGCAAGATCTTCGTGTTTTGGCTTTTCTGGAGGTGGATCTTTGTGTGTCCTGGCAGGGATGTGGGTTTGTGTCTCCCACAAGAGGAAAATTTGGTTTAGAGCTGTGCCTTTATGAAGGGATTAATGTGATATTTATGGGCTGCCACCTTGCAGAGTAACCATCCCTTCTGCTTCCCAGTCCCCTTAATTGTGTTTATTTCTTCAGATAAGAACTTTCTGCAGCAGAAAAATCTTACCAAACACATCAGCCAAGCCTGGTGTGAAGGAGCTTCGGCTTGCTGCTGCAAATTTAAAGTAGTTTTTGTTTGAATTTCTCCAGATCAGTGGATTTGGATTTCCCATCCCTCTCTTTAAAGCAGCTGTTCCAGATGCTGCAGCAGAGATCTCAGGGATGTCAAAACCCAAATCAGCACCTCAGAGAAGCTTGAGCAGGCAGAACATCCCCAGGGAGTGGTTCTCCATGCTGGAGAGAGCCATAACTTCATTCTGTACATTTCTGGGCTCTGCAGTAATTTAATATCCTTGGAATTTGTGGGGCAGAAATGGCTGCAGACTTGTGCTGTCATAATTAAATTTGTTATTAAAGGCAGTACCACAGGGATTAAATTTATCTCAGGGGTATTTTTGCATCACACTGGGTAACTTTGGTTGTTAGCCAATATTTGGAGCAAAACATTGAATTAGATGAAAACCTTGATAAGAATCTTTGGCTCAGGAGATGTGGTGCTTGCATCACTCTTTGGTGATGGGTGGTTTAAGGCAGGGTCAGAATTTTGGTGAGGCTGGGGAAGGAGGGCACTTCTGCTGGGTGGCCCCAGAATTTCAGCAGGACAGGAGATGGAGTTTCTTACAATTTCCTTCTTTGAGGAAACTCGGCTTTCTAAATGGATCAGCTTTGTTTTTTTGGTCTCCATCCACAAATTTCAGAGGAGGTGGCAGGTTAATGTGAGAGTGTTGAGCTGGGGAATGACTACTGTTACATGATAATCCAAAAAGGGAACTTCTGCTAAGAATAGAATGAGGGGTGGATATTTTGCTATTTAAACATCTTAAGCTCAGCTTGGTGCTTTATTTTACTATCAGTAAGAATCTTTGCATTGAATCCCATCCCTTGTGAGAGAAGGCTTTGGAAGAGAGAACTACATTTTTATCACTTTGTCTCAGGGCTCGGCTCAGACATCTTTGATAAATTATTAGAAAAACATTGAACAAAATGCAGTGAAAACATCTAGGCTGTTTCAGAGGCTGTACCCAAATCCATGCTGGTTTTATCAGTGCCTGATAGTGCAATAAAATGAACGTTGAGCAGTGGCTCTTTGTAGCTGAGCTTTTCCCTCTGCTGTCATTATCTTCTTTCTTAACAATATCCAGCCTTGATGGTGCTTAAACCAGTCAAAATATCAACCCTCCAAATGCAGAGCCTTCATTTTCCTCCTGATGAGCTCCAGCCTGGGTAATTAATGAATATTAATTATTAGTCATTATAAGAGCAAGGCATAAATAGTCCCTTCCTCTTTTGAAACACACAGGGTTGTAAACCACAGGTGGCAGATCTGCTAACAGGTTAAGAAAAGTAAAAGACTTAAGCATTTGCTGGATAAGTAAACACTAAGTTCAAGCATAAGCTTTTCATCCTCCTGAGTCTCCACCTTTCCTCTGGAGGTATTAGATGGAAAAGAAATGCAGTGCTCTGAGGTCAGCCCTACCCCCAGGAAGCTTCCCCTCCCCTTGCCCTGAGCAGCAGCTGCTGAACTTGGGCTGCCCTGTCTGGGCTGGGACTTGCCAAGAGCCTGTCTGGCTGCAGGGGCATGGATTGGGGCACCTAGAAAAGGGATTGCAGCCTGGCTGAGCAGCCAGGCAGGTCCCCGTGGATTTTTTGGTGACTGATGAGAAGGCTTTGTGGCAGCCTGGGGTCAGCAGAGAGGCTGCTGTGACATTATGGGAATTGGGAGCTGCTTTAACAGGACATCAGACCCCCTGTTCACCATCACGTAGGTACCTTGCTGCTTTTCCCTGCAGCTGGGGGGTCTCTGCTGGGGCTGTGGGGTGCAGGGCAGGTCTGGGAGAGCCTGGGATGCTCCAGGCACAGCCCTGCTGCTCTGAGCTGCTCTCATTCTCTGGATCAGAGTCAGATTCCCTGATTCTCTGAATCAGATTCACATTCTCTGATTCTCTGATTCAGATTCAGATTCTCTGATTTTCTGCTTTCAGAATTTGCTGAGCTCCAAGGAATGCCACAGCCCTACTGGTCTGAGCTGCTCTGATTCTCTGAATCAGATTCACATTCTCTGATTCTCTGATTCAGATTCAGATTCTTTGATTTTCTGCTTGCAGAACTTGCTGAGCTCCAGGAATGCCACAGCCCTACTGGTCTGAGCTGCTCTGATTCTCTGAATCAGATTCACATTCTCTGATTCAGATTCAGATTCTCTGATTCTCTGATTTTCTGAATCAGATTCAGAGTCTCTGATTCAGATTCTCTGATTCTCAGCTTGCAGAACATGCTGAGCTCCATGAATGCCACAGGCCTGCTGCTCTGCACTGCTCTGATTCTCTGAATCTGATTCAGATTCTCTGATTCCCTGATTGCAGAACATGCTGAGCTCCATGAATTCCACAGTCCTGCTGCTCCGATTCTCTGAATCAGATTCAGATTCTCTGGTTCTCTGAATCAGACTCAGATCCCCTGATTCTCTGAGTCAGATTCAGATTCTCTGATTCTCTAATTCATGTTCAAATTCTCTGATTCTCTGATTGCAGAACATGCTGAGCTCCATGAATGCCACAGCCCTGCGCAGTGCTCTGAACTGCTCTGATTTTCTGAATCAGATTCAGATTCTCTGATTCTCTGGATCACATTCAGATTCTCTGATTCTCTGGATCACATTCAGATTCTCTGATTCTCTGAATCTGATTCAGGTTCTCTGATTCTCTGATTGCAGAACCTGCTGAGCTCCATCAGTGCCTCCCTGCAGGGCCCCCCCAGAAATGTCCATCACCTAAAGTCAAGGGTGGTCCTCGTGGGACAGCCCTCAGCTGGAGCAGAGCTTTGGCACTTCTGTAACAACAAATTGATTTGTTCCTCTGATTTTGTTTTTGCAGGGTCCTCGTGAGCCCTCGCCAGAATCTGACTCGCATCACGTTAAAAGGGACTTTCCAGGGGGCTAAAGTGGTCCGTGGGCCTGACTGGGAGTGGGGTAACCAGGATGGTAAGCTGCTTTTGGAAAGTCCTGTAGAACACCATTTGTTTTTCTAATATATATATAAAACATTGATACTTTCAATATTTAATATTTTAATTTTTTTTATTTTATATATATTAATTTTAATCTATGTTTTTATTTTCTATTTTATTCCTGTTTATAGATTTATCTATTTTAAAAATATGTAGCTAATTATATATATATATATATATATATATATATATATACAAAATAATTTTTTCTGTATGTAAAATATTCTTTTATTTTTTCAAATTGCTGGTTGAAAATCCACATGTTGAGCAGCAGCTTCTAGGGGGGTTGTTCAAGTGATGCAGGTGCCTGTTCTTTAGAGTAATTAAAATCTATTTTTTCCATGTATTGTCATATCTGTGACATAAACCATGTCCAGGGTGTGGGGAGGAAGTTTTGCTGCTCCTCTTCCATAGATGTGAAAACCACTGAGAACCATGCTGGAAATTCTTGTATAAAATTGTAAATGCACACCACATTACAAGAAAAGAAAGACTCCCCTCTTCCTGAAAAAGCTTCAATTGATAGTGGAGAGTTTATCTGACTTTGTGCACAGTATCCATTTTCTTTTGGAGTTTTTGCAATGTCTTTATTTGGATACTTTGAAGAACAGTGAGGAGGAATTCTCTCTAAGGAGGGTTTCCCATGGTGCACTAATGAAGGACTCTGTGGTTGCTGGAGGTTGGTTCCTGCTTTCTGTAGGAATTGAAACCTTCAGGCTGAGAATGCAATGGGACAAAAATGTTTTTTTAAACTGCTTTAGGGGTGTAATTCTTGTCCCCAGGTCAGTGACAGCAGTTGCTGTGTGCTGCTCCAGGGCTGAGGGAGCTTTCCTCCCCATTTGTCCCAGAGCCCTGCACACACACTGTGATGTTTACAGCTCCTTTTTCCTCTGAAGAATTAAGTCAAAAGTTCAAAGGTTTCCAGAGTTGACTCTGCCATTTATTGCAGCTCTGGGCTCGGTGGAGGATGTGGATGCTTGCAGGGTCAGAGGGTAAATCAGCTTATGCTCAATACAGCTTATCCACCCTCTGGAGATCACAGCAGCATTTACATGTCTGAGACTTGTGCTGCTGACGGTGCTGCTGACCTGAAAGCAGCTCCCTGGGCAGGAGCAGTGAGAGGAGCCCTAAATCCAGCCCTCAGCTGCTCTCTGGTCTTGGTGGAGCTGCTCCAACCACAGCCATGGTCTTGTCATGAGCAGAACTGCCAGCAAAACCCAGCCTTTGCATTGTGCTGATGAATGAGGAGCTCAGCTCCTTCAGGCTGTTGGGTTTCAGGACTTTGCAGACAGCCACAAGTTCCTCAGTGAAACAGATCTTGCTGTCCTTGTCTGGGGAAGTCTTGGGGAAGTGTTGGGACTTGCCCAGACTGGGAATCTGCAAACCCTGATTGCCTTCACTGTGTTGTCTCTTGGATCAGAACACGTCCCAGTGCCCAGCCAGAATCACCTCCCCACATCCATCCTCTTCTTCTGGATTCCTCAAGCTCCTTGCTTGAAGAAAACCAAGTTTCTTTGATGTTCCTCCCCCAGATGGGGTCACTGTGTTGTCTCTTGGATCAGAACACGTCCCAGTGCCCAGCCAGAATCACCTCCCCACATCCATCCTCTTCTTCTGGATTCCTCAAGCTCCTTGCTTGAAGAAAACCAAGTTTCTTTGATGTTCCTCCCCCGGATGGGGTTGGGGAGAGATTTGAAGATCCTGGGTGGATCTTGCAGCACATGGATGGTGCTGGGGAGAGATTTAAAGATCCTGGGTGGATTTTGAACCCTTGGATCCTGGGTCTTGCAGCACATGGATGGTGTTGGGGAGAGATTTGAAGATCCTGGGTGGATCTTGCAGCACATGGATGGGGCTGGGGAGAGATTGAAAGATCCTGGGTGGATCTTGAACCCTTGGATCCTGGATCTTGCAGCACATGGATGGTGTTGGGGAGAGATTGAAAGATCCTGGGTGGATCTTTAGCACTTGGATCCTGGATCTTGCAGCACTGCTGAGTATTTTTGTTGCCACAGTGTGGTGCCATGACACCACGTGTGTATTCCCCAACTAGGCCATGCTCCTGCACACCAGGAATCCTCCACAGAATCATTCCAAAATTGAACGGCTCGCTGGGTTTCAGCAACTTTAACGCAGAGATTCCCTCCTAATCACTCCAAATGAGTTGTCTCATGATCCAGTTTTCCTGATTTGCACTTCTTTTCCCCTCAGGGGGTGAGGGCAAGACCGGCCGCGTGGTCGATATCCGCGGCTGGGACGTGGAGACCGGCCGCAGCGTCGCCAGCGTCACCTGGGCAGATGGCACCACCAACGTCTACAGGGTGGGCCACAAGGGAAAAGTGGACCTCAAATGTACTGTGGAGGCTTCTGGGGGCTTCTACTACAAGGAGCACCTCCCAAAATTAGGTGGGTGAAGTCTTTGTTGAGAAGTTGTGATTCACACGGCCGTTGGCGCTGAAGCCATTTTTTGTTTGGAAGACACAAAACCACCTCCTGGTTTTCTAAAGTTCCCACATAATGAGCATTATTTGAGAGAATTTGGTTTGTGTGTGAACATACTGCTTGATCTCAGAGCGGTTCATGAAATAGTTTGGACTTTTAGTGTTAAAATCATTGGAATACCCACAGTTCTATCCCAAGGAATACAACCTCTGCTGGAAACGCAGGAAATTCCCACTCTGCTACAGAGAACCCAACTTTTCTCACTTTTGTTACATTTGTCAATCCAAAGCTTTTCACTCTTCAGGCAAGCTGTTGTTCGCTGTGCTTTTAGAGAGCAAACACTCTCCTGGTGGAGCCAAAAGTGGGAACGTGACCAAAGGGAGATTTTGGAGAACAGAACGGCCAAAAATTATAAAAAATTATGGGAAAAGGGGATGTCTGTACTGGCAACTTGCTGCAATCCCCCTTTCCTCTTAAGCCCAAGGAAACTCCTTGTGCTTTTGGATTTGAAGCTTTTTTTCCACCCAGGTGTAATTTAGCTGTTGGGTTGTTTTTCTTTTAATGAGATGCAGGGACATCTTTGGCTCCCCTGAAGGAAAACAGAGGGGTCTGTTCTGGTGTTTGCAGCAACAAAATCAGGGTTTTTATCAGACAAAACTTTTCAGGAAAACTTTTACCAGTCCTTCTCAAACTTTTCTCTCCCTGGGCACCTTGGCAAGAGCATGAGGGGAGGGAAAGGTTGGATGAGGAGATTAATTCCAGGGGTATGGATGCATGGGATGGGTGGGAGGGTAAGGAACTCCTCAGAGTGAATTCTGTGCCTGCCTGTGGGGGGGAAGAACTAATTTTGGGTGCTGTGTGGGCATGTCTGAACAGCAGTTGTGGGTGAGTGGATTGCTAAGAACAGCTCCTGGTGTCTGCCAGGGCCTGAGAGGCATTCCCTGCTCTGCAGAGGCACAAAATGGCTCTTGTTAGAGCTGCTTATGGATTATTAATATAAAATTGGAAATTGTAAAATATAATTTTAATATAATGTAATTATTAATATAATTAGAGTCAAATCCTGCTGATTTCTCTGCTGTCCTGTAGAGTGTATAGAGCATGAAAAGGGATTTGCACCATTCTGCCCCAAATTAATGTTAATTTTCAGCCCTTGTAAGGAAGCCAGTGTGGCACCCAGGGTGTGTGACTGCACCCTGCATGCCTGTGGGTGCTGTCCTTGCTGTCCCCAGGGAAACCAGCTGAGCTGCAGAGGAAGGAGAGCACAGACAGGCATCCCTTCCAGCACGGGGACAAGGTGAAGTGCCTGCTGGACATCGACATCCTGCGGGAGATGCAGGAGGGCCACGGGGGCTGGAATCCCAAAATGGCTGAGGTAAGTCCTTGGATTCTCCCTGGCTACAATTCCAGCCTCTGCCTCCTTCTGCACTGCTCAGGAAATTACCAGAACATCTTTGTGTGACCTTAGAGCTGAAGTGAATCACAAATGCAGATTTTTTTTAGTGATAACTCTGACTCCAGGGTCCTATTTTTGGGCTCTGTTGGATGAGAATGGCCTTGTAGATATTTACAGGAATTTAGGACTTGAAAATGTTGGGATTAACAGGAAAATGCAGAATTTAGGATTGGGAAATGATGGAATTAAAGGGAAAATCCAGAAATTCGGACTGGGAAATCTGGGATTAACAGGAAAATACGGAATTTAAGATTCAGAGGAATTTAGGACTTGGAAATGCTTGGATTAATAGGAAAATCCAGAATTTAGGATTAGGAAATGATGGAATTAAAGGGAAAATCCAGAGTTTAGGACTGGGAAATGCTGGGCTTAGTAAGAAGCTACAGAACGTAGATTTGGGAGCAGTGTGGATGGGAAATGCTGGGTGGTTTAGCCTTAGACACCTTCTTTCCCCACTATTAAACAAGGTGATTTATCGAGGGGCTTTCCCCTCTTTTATTTTGTGCCCAAAGTTCATTGGGCAGACAGGGACCGTGCACAGGATCACGGACAGAGGGGACGTGAGGGTCCAGTTCAACCCTGAGACCCGCTGGACTTTCCACCCTGGAGCCCTGACCAAGGTAGGTGCTGGGAATGCTGCAGGGAGGTCACTGATCCTGCTGGGTTAGGGCTCAGTGTGTCCCCAGAGGTGCTGAAGGGACACCCTGCTCTTCTAAACACAATTGTCCTGTTTTTTGAACTTTTGCAAAGTCCTGAAGGTAAACTGCATTTCTTAATTTCAGCTTCCAGTCCCTCATCCTTCTGCGGCTGCCTTGCCCTTGTGATGAACCTTTTCCCCACATAATTTCCCTTTGATTTTTTTTTTTGTTCTTCCTTGTTTTGTGTCTTCATCTTGTTCTTTTTTGCAGCTTTGTTTCACTTCTCTTTGATTTCTTCTGAAACTTTAATCCAGCCCTTCTAATTTTGTGGCTGTATTTCTAAAGCTCGCAGCTCTGGCCTTCCCCAGAGGTTTGAGGACTTTGAGAAGTGGATAATTAGAGATAATTAGGTGTAGAAGAAGCTGCTGGAAGACCACAAAATTCTGACCTGAGCAAGGTCACAATGCTAAAAACTCCCAACACCAGTGGAAAATGCAGTGTCAGACTGTTTTGCACAAAATCAGTCTGCTCTGAAAAGTGTGTTTTGACACTGCTCCCTTCCTAGCTCAGTGAGCAGAGGGAGCATCTGGCAAATTCCCAGCACAGATAAACCCTGCTTTCCCTTTTCTGTTTAAAATAACAAACATTTAACTTCCTTATTAGACTGAATTAAAATCTCCAGTGCCTAGCCAGGTGTAGCGAGGAGATGGACCAAGAAAACTTCCATGCTTTATCTGGTATTAATAATAAACCATTTGGAGCAAAAGAAGTTAGGAAACTGCCTGTTCCAAATTATTTCCCTACTTAAATATGTACTTGGCTTAAAAAAGAATTAGGCTGTGTTTATTTTCTTGGTAGCTGCATTTATGTTTTGCCATGCTGTTTTTTGACTCAGTGGGTGTCTTGTTTGTTGGAATTTTGGGACTGGGGTGGTGCGGGCTGATCACTATTAATTTTTTGTCTCTGTCTGTGTGTGGCTTCATCCCCCAAAAGCTTATGACTTTCTTTTTCTTGTAGCTCAACACCTTTTGGGTTGGTGATGTGGTCCGGGTGATAGATGATATGGAAACAGTGAAGCGGTTCCAACCTGGTCATGGGGAGTGGACAGATGAGATGGCACCTGTGAGTGCGCGCCAGTTCCAGTTCCAGGACAGTCCAGTAACCTCCTGAGCTCCCCCAAGCCCTCAGCACTTAGACATGGGCTTGTACCCCCCCAGAATTCCTGCTGGGAAGTCCCTGCCCAGCCCCTGCTGCTGGTGGCTCTCGGTGACACTGTCGTGCCCGCGGCACCCAAACGGGACAAGGGGGAATCCAGCAAAAAAGGATTTGGCTGCCACCAACTCATGGGAGAGGTTTCCATCATCAAATTCCTCTTATGCCCTCCCTGACTCTCTGCAATGAAGCAGGGAGGTGGAAAAATCAGCCCAGCATGGCTAAAAAGTGGGATGCAGGTTCCTCCAGGAGCAGTTAAAGCCCAGAGGAAACCGTCCCCAGTCCCAGCTTGATCAGTTCTTGTCAGCACCTTCCTCCCCAGCCTTTCCCAGTGTGGCTGGGAAAACCCTTCCATGGCAAACCAGTGAGACAGAAACTGGTGAGAACCCTCTGGTGTCCTCGAAGTGGGAGCTGTCTGTGAGTGTGTCATTGTCCAGTGCTTCTTTTCACACAGCAGGAGCTGCAGCTTTACGAAAAAATAAACCCAAAAAAAAAAAATGCAAAAAACCCTGGCTTTGGGTCTGGGAACTTGTGGTGGAGAAAAAAAAAAAAATCCTTCTTTTTTTTCCTTCCAGACCCTGGGGCACATTGGGAAGGTGATCAAGGTCTATGGGGATGGAGATCTGCGAGTGTCAGTGGGGGGACAGTCCTGGACCTTCAACCCTGCCTGCCTGACAGCCTACCAGAGGGAGGAGGAGGCCAACCTGATGACCACAGACAGTGCCAAGGAGTCCAAAAGTGAGGGACAAACCTGCTCCTCCCAGGGCTGGGAGATCTTTGGTCCAGCTCTTTGGGTGGTGGCAAAATCCAGGTGTTCTTCCCTGGATGGAGAACTGAAGTTTGGCTGTGCTTTGCTGGGCAAACCAAGCTGGGCCTTAGGAAAATGCAGGATTTAGGACTTGGAAATGCTGGGATTAATGGGGAAATACAGGATTTGTGGCTGGGAAATGCTGGGATTAATGGAGAAATGTAGGATTTAGGACTTGGAAATGATGGGATTGACAGGAAAATGCAGAATTCAGGACTCACTGGAATTTAGGAATGGGAAAGGCTGGGATGAACAGGAAAATGCAGGATTTAGGACTTGGAAATGATGGGATTGACAGGAAAATGCAGAATTTAGGACTCACTGGAATTTAGGACTGGGAAATGCTGGGATTAATGGGGAGGTGCAGGATTTAGGACTGGGAAATGCTGAGCTTAATGGGAAAATGCAGAATTTAGGACTTGGAAATGCTGGGATTAATGGGAAAAATACAGAATAAAACCCAGCTGTGCCTTACTGGGTAAACAAAACTGGTTTTGACAGGAAAATAAAGATTTTAGGACTTGAAAATTCTGGGCTTAACAGGAAAATACAGAATTTAGGGCTCAGAATTGCTAAGTACAGTTCTGCCCTAGGTTCAGTATTTGCCTCATTCCTGTTGTGTCTCAGTTCCCTGTTCCATCCTGTTTCCAGCACAAGGACACTGATTCTTGTGAAATATTCCCAGGTCTGTGCATGGAACTGTTGTGAAATCCACAATTGTTTTGCCTAATCTGCCCTGAAATCGAGTTTGGGACCACATGGTGCATGGAGGGGATTTTTTTTTTTTGTGCTTTGCACATCTGCTCAGAATTTTTTTTGTGGCCTGACCATCTTTATTTCCTCTGAGTGTCAAGATCATGTGGGAGGGAGCACAGACTTGCCAGGATTTTTTGTTTGTTTGTTTTCCTGATTCAGATGGATCTGGAGCTGTTTGCTCAAGTCAGACTTGAGGCAGAACTTGCAAAATTTTTTGACTTTGCACTGCTGGGGTGCTGTGACACCTGTGTCCCCTCAAACACTGAGAGATGTGGGGTGACAGGTGCATTTCTGTCTCTTTTTCAGGTACTTTGGTGACTGTCCTGGAGAAGCTGCTGTCCCAGAGGACAGAGTCAGAGCATGCAGGGTGCCTGGTCATTTGTGCAGCCCTCAACAACGCAGCTAAAATCCGGGAGCTCCTCCAGAAATACCCAGACAAGGCAAGTTTGGAAGACAAAAATGTTATTTTTCCTTTGTTTCTGCTCTTTAAAACATCATCATAAAATTCTGTAGTCAAGCAGGGAAAAGAATGTGAGGAAAACAATAGATGTGTCAGGCTCGGTGGTATCTCCTAACAGCTGGAATATTTATTTTGCTGCAATTTCTACAAGGATTGCAATTGCTGCAGGGATTAAATTCACAAGTTAGATGTGCATATTTTATGCCTCTATTTTGTGGCAATAAATCTGAACTAAAATCCTTACAGCACTTTTCCCAAGCTGGCTTTTCCCAAATTTCCTGTGTGGCCACTGCAGCTGTAGAATGAGAGGGAGAGGGGTTTATCTATAGGAAAACAGGAGCAGAAATCAGAAAATCTGCTGGAAATGAGAGGCAGGGCTTGTGTCTGGCTGTGCCTGTCCTTAGAGGACCTTGTAAAATCACATTGTTGGAATCAGGAGGGAGAAAAGCTGCCCAGATCTGTGCAGTGTCTTATCTCACGTCTGACTGGAGCAGGGAGCTGGGCTGGACTCGTGGCTGGACAATTCCTGTGCTTGCAGAGTGCCAAACTGTCAGGATCACATCTCCTGAAACCTCCTGCAGGGAGGGGCTCAGGGTTTAGATACAGGGCAAAAAAAAGAGAAAAAAACCACCAAAGTTTCAGTAGTGTGTCCTTGGAAACCATGAGTAACAAAAAGGTTTTGTTGGGGGTGTGGTTGTGGGGCTGTGACCCAGGATCGGCTCTGAAGAAGTTGATTTAGTGGTTGTCTGGTATTTATTATACTTCATTATTTATAAACTTAAATTTAAGTTTATAAATAAACTTCTGGGGGTGGGAAGGAGACACAAATACTTGCAATTCTCAGATTGATCCCAAATAGGAAAGTCTCAAGAGTAAGGAATCCATGATACGATCAGTTATTTTTATTAGACTTCTATTTCTACTCTAATATATATATATAAATAAATTAGCTGTTTCTATTAGAGACTTACAGAGAGATCAGGCTGGATTTGAGGCTGACTTAGAGCAAGTTGGAATTGCTTAGCAGGGTTTTTCCAGCTTATCAGCACTGTCTGCCTGGTGTCAATGGAAGAACAGCAGTGACCTCTAATTCCTCTTTGCCCAAAGGACTCACCCATCATTTTGAGCCTCTCCTGTGCTCTGACTGCTGCAGGGATAAAACCTTCATTATTAATTTGTTCTCCTTGCCAATCTGCTGAGGTTTTGTGCCTCTTTCTCCTCTCCTTAGCCTCCACTGCTTTCAGAAGCTGCTTTGCCTTTTTTTTTTTTTTACCTCTTGTGCCTTTAATCCAAAACTCTCACTGCAGCACTTGAGCCCTGAGATGTCCCCTGCAGCCACTGCACCCACTGAAGTACCTGCAGCAGCACAGCACAGCAGGGACCTGGCACCTCCAGAGCCTTATGCAAAGCTGATTTGATTTCCTCACACATTTTCCCTTGGGAAGGGAATTGTTGGCAGAGGTATCAAGGAGCGTCATGCTCTCAGGCACTGAGTGATTTGGCAGCAGGGCTTTGCAATTACAGAGCTCCAGCTCTGTTCTCTCACTTCTCCCCTCTTGACTAAACATGCTGTCCCCTTCCCCTTCCAGAATGTTCTGGGACAAGCTCAGCTGGGAGCTGCTGGCCAGCAGAGGAGCCAGCAGGGCACGGACCCCGTGGGATTTCTGGGCTGTTCCCCCCCTGCTCCAGGCACAGAACGAGCTCATCCCTGATTTTCTGTGTCTCTGCCCTTCCCAAAGGTGGATGCCAAGAACCAGGGCAGGACTGCCCTGCAGATTGCCTCTTACCAGGGGCACCTGGAGGTGGTGAAGGCTCTGCTGCAGGCACACGCCAACGTCGACCTGCGTGACGACGAGGGGGACACGGCGCTGCACTACGCAGCCTTTGGGTAGGACACCTCCCCTCCTGCTGATGGAAATAATAGTAATAATCCCAACCCTAACAACAAAAAAAACCCCAAACAAAACAACAAAAAAACCCCCAACCAGACAGAAAACAAAACAAAACAAAATCACCCCAGTTTTTTTAACACTGAGAGGAAGCGGGGTGGGGCTGAGAGGATACAAAACCTGATTTCTGTTGCTTTGCAAAGAGAAAGAATTGACTGGAATGACTCAAATCTGGGTTTTTTCCTTGCTTTAAACCAGAAACCAAGCTGAAGTTGCCCGTGTGCTGCTGGCCAAGGGGGCCAGTGCAGACCTGCTGAACAATGCCAAGTGCACAGCCCTGTTCGTCGCTGTCAGCCAAGGCTTCACCGAGGTGGTGAGAGCCCTCTGTGAGCTCAACTGTGATGTCAACCTCCCAGTAAGTTTGGCATTACTGCAGGCATTTGGGCCAGGGAGGTATTGGAGGATTTTTTTGGGTTTTTTTTTGAGGTGGGGAGGTGCTTTGTGAGAAAAGTTTGATTTACAGCCTCGAGAGAAGCTTAGATGAATGTAAAAATACAATACACAGACATTAAGCAGAAAAAACCATAAACTTACGTTTCTGTAGTTGTAAGTAAAAATGTATCAAGAAGCTGTATTGATAAAACAGTGAAAAGTTTATAAAGTAAAAGTGTAGTTACATAAAATAAGCTAAGAATTTAGAAGTTATGATAGAAACATATATACAGACATGAGACAGAAACCCATTAGATAAAAGTATCCACAGTGCAACAAAATTAAGTAATGGTAATAAGTTAGAAAAACAAAATAAACCCTGTAACAATTATCTATTAGCTTAAAAAATGTAAATTATCTTATAACAAAGAACTTGTGACTACTCTTAAGCTATAGCCAACTGCTTACTCCTTTAAAATTTCACAATCTCTGAGACTAATGTTTATCTAAACAATAAATTGTTCTTAGCCCAAAAATAGTCCCATCCCTTCATTCTTAACAACAATAATAATACTTCTTTATGTCTTACACCATCTGTGGCTTTGTAGAATTCAAATCTGTCCTCTGAAGAGGCACTGGGAAATATTCCTGAATTTCAGTACCCTGAAATTCCAGCTTTGAGTCTGCCCCTTCTTCATCACATCAGCATTTTCTGCTCTGCTCAGGCTTCCAGGGAGAGCTGAGCTGCTGTTCCTGTGTGTTGTGGCCACACTCCTGTTCCCAAAACCAAGATTTTTTTAACATTTTTAAGGCCAGGCAGTGATGGTGACTTGGACCCAGCTCATTTTTAGGGTTTATTGTGTGCTGGTGGGGCTGTTCTGTGCTGGGTCATCCCTCAGAGCTGCTCAGGAGTTCCAGCAGCTCCCAGGGGGTTTCCTGGGGCTTTCTGAGGTTGGTAACCTGGGTTTGCTTTGGTCTCCATGTGTAGGATTCCCGGGGAGACACCCCCCTGCATTATGCTATCACCATGGACTACAAAGTCGTGATTGAGATTCTCACTGAAGTTCCCAACATCGATTTCACTGTCCAGAACTGTCAAGGCTTCAACCTGCTCCACTATTCTGCCCTGAAAGGCAACAAGCTGTAAGTTACCTTTCTTTTTTTTTCCCATTTTTATGCCTTTAGCAGGTGTTAATTTGTGCTGGCTGGCTGAGGAGGTGGCAGATGTGGTTCTGGGTGGTTGGTTAAACATTTCTGGGGTTTGGATAAGCTCCTTCAGGCCTTCACAGGAAACTCCTGCCTGCTTTCCCCATCTCATCTTTCTCATGCTTCCCTAGGCTGGGAATCTCACTGCTTCTGGACAGTTTCAGATATTTGGGTCTTAGAAAGCCTGGGAGCCTCTGGAACTCTTCCAAAGATAAATCTCCTCATTATTTTCAAAGCAATGTGGCTTTTCCCTGCTTTATTAAAGATAACGGAGGGCTTTTGTTGTATTCTTGTAATTCTGTGTGTTTGAGGGACTGCTCTTCATTGCTGGTGTCAGCACCACCTGGTAAAACATGGACATGAATAACTCCTGACAGGAGAGGCAGAAATTCATTCTTCCATCTTTAATAACCTCTCCAACTCTGCAGAGCTATAAAAAAGATTCTGGCCAGGGCTCGACAGCTGGTGGACTCCAAAAAGGAAGATGGATTCACTGCCCTGCACCTTGCTGCTCTCAACAACCACTTGGAAGTGGCTGAAATTCTCATCAAAGAGGTAAGAAATAACTCAAAACCAACATCAAGGAAAAGTTTTTCAAACACCTCTCAGCTGGCCCATCCCTGGGTCAGGAAATGTGTTATTGTCTGACAAATTGGTGCTCCTTGTGAGGAGCAGATAACTCAGCTAAACTCAACAAAGGTGGAGTGGGATTTGGGAGCTGCCAGGCCCCACACTCTGAGCTCTGCAGCCAAGCTCAGACTCAGATCTCATCCCCCATGCTGCAATTCCTGCTTTTCCAGGCTCCCACGAGGGGTGATTTTACTTTATTGACTTTAAAGCACCAACAGCATGGTATAACTAAAACTGATAAGCCAAGAAACACTTATAATGTATTGTAATTAGGAAATAGTTAACTCCTGATTGTGATGAGTGAATTATAACATCTGTATTGTGTCACCCTTCTCATGAGACTGAAAATAGAACAAAAGTTTTTCAGACACCTCTCAGCTGGCCCATCTCTGGGCCAGAACAGGGTGTTATTGTCTGACAAATCAGTGTGAGGAGCAGACAGCTTGGCTAAACTCAGCAAAGGTGGAGTGGGATTTGGGAGCTGCCAGGCCCCACACTCAGTATTATTATTATTATTATTTACTGTTATGCTTGAAATTATTAGGATAAGTGCAACCACCCATTCCCCTTTTTTAGCACTGCTCCTTCATCCTGCTCCTTACCAAACCCCCAGGAGATGATGGCTCAGGTGCAGGGCCAAAGTCCTGGAAGTCCTCAGGAGGGAACTGTGCCTGTCCTCCCAGCATTATTGACAGTGACACCATCTCTGAGTGCTGTAAATTCCTTCCCATCTAATTTTACTTGCCCTGCCTGACCCACTCTGGCTGGTTAAGTCAGTGGAATATGTGACTTGACTTTGAATTATTTGGGATCATGCACATCAGAGTTTGGCTCTTGAAATAGCTGTCACCCTGCAGCAGCTGCTCAGCAGCTCTGTGGGGCCTCCAACTTCTTCCTTTCAGAGAAATTCATGCCCATTTCTCTGATTTGTAGGGATAATCACCAAGTAGGGTCACTCTGAGGCACTCCTGGCCCTGCAGTGTAAAATTTGAACCCATTATTTACAAAAAGAATCTTTGTGTGCTTTCAAAAAGTTGCACTTCCAAGTTTTAAGTACGAGGTTTAAGACTTTATTTAGATTTTGATGCAGATCAGAAGCTTGGGAGTATATTTCAGAGTGTTTTTCTCAATTTCTTTTAGCTGCAGGCTTCTGGCTTGCTGGGAAATGTGGAGCTGAACGTTGGGACTGCCATTGCCTGCTACTTAGCACAAGAAGGAGCAGATATTAATTATGCAAATCATCGGGGAAAGTCTCCTTTGGACCTCATCACAGATGGAAGAATTGTCCAGATTGTCAAAGACTTCTCACAGAAATTCAGGTGAGCCTCGGGAAACCCTTGGAAATCAGAGATTCCCCCAGCCCTGGTGTCTCTGCAATGAGACCCTCAGGATGTCACCCTGAGCGTGTCCTGTTTGTTCTGGAGTGTGGAGGGCTGAAGTGAGGCTGTGTGCTGAGTTTGGAAGGGTTGGGAAAAGCAGATTAACAGGGCTCTTTGCAAACCCTTGGCAATCTGAGGAGCCTCTGGGGCCACTGAGAACAACTCTGCAGAGCAGTCCTGGGTTCTGTTTTACTTCCATTTGATCCTCACTCACAGATATTTAAAAAGAGTACTGCAAAAGTGGGCACCAAAACCCCCAGGATTTATTCCAGGGCTAGATAAACACTTGTTTTGAAGCTGATAAGAGAAATACCTGAGAAAATGCCAGAGGGAGAGTATGGCAAGTCAAAGCTGGCTTTATCTGGGACTCTGAGCAGCATTTGTTTGGATTTGGGCTTTGCAAACACGAAAGCAGAGTTCTGTTTGATCTGGGGCACAGAGTCTGTGCTGTTCCTGCTGGAGGAGGAACCCCCAGCAGTGCAAAAGGTGAAAAGTGTCTCTTTAACACCTTCCCCAGGAATTCTGCCAGTGGAATATGTGTTGGACTGAGGTTTTTTGCTTAAAAATGTCATTTCTGTCAGGCTGACATTCCTCGTCATTATTATTATTATTATTATTAATTTTTTTATTATTATTATTGTCCCATTATTATTATTATTATTATTATTATTATTATTATTATTATTATTATTATTATTATTATTATTATCTGCTTTCAGCAGATGATTGTGTTGTTATTTTACTGTTACCTCCAAAACAGCAGTTTCAACTTGTGTAAATGGATATAAATTAGAGATCCCTGCTCTTTTCCTTTCTTTTTTGGGCAGAACCATTGAGGATCCCAGCTGAGCTTGTCCCAGCAGGGCAGGGAAGGGTCTCAGGTTTATCTGCCTGAGCCTGTGCTGCCCTGTGGGGTAACCCAGGGATAACCTGTGGGAAATGGATTTGTAAAAATTCTTAAAACTTAACAGAAATTTCACATAGTACGTGTGTAAATATCTGTATGTAAATTTTGAGGTAAGAAATTATGATTTAGAAATGTTATAGAACAGGACAGACATTGTTGAGAGAGAAACTGAGTTAGAAAAATGTTTTAAAGGATAACTTTACAAAAAAAAAGATTTCATAGTTTAGAGAAAATGTATGGAAATTTTGAGGTTAGAAATTATGATTTAGAAATGTTCTAGAACAGGACAGACATTGTTGAGAGAGAAACTGAGTTAGAAAAATGTTTTAAAGGATAACTTTACAAAAAAAAAGATTTCATAGTTTAGAGAAAATGTATGGAAATTTTGAGGTTAGAAATTATGATTTAGAAATGTTCTAGAACAGGACAGACATTGTTGAGAGAGAAACTGAGTTAGAAAAATGTTTTAAAGGATAACTTTACAAAAAAAAAGATTTCATAGTTTAGAGAAAATGTATGGAAATTTTGAGGTAGGAAATTATGATTTAGAAATGTTATAGAACAGGACAGACATTGTTGAGAGAGAAACTGAATTAGAAACAAGTTTTAAAGGATAACTTTACAAAAAAAATATTTCATACTTTAGATAGAATGTATGTAAATTTTGAGGTAAGAAATGTTATAGAATAGGACAGACATTATTGAGAGAGAAATTGAATTAGAAACAAGTTTTAAAGGATAACTTTACAAAAAAAAAAAGATTTCATACTTTAGAGAAATAGAACAACGAAAGATGAAATAAAAATATTAAAACACCTTTCAGTTACCTCATCTGTGAGTCAGAAAAAGGCTCAGTCTGCCATTACCCACTGCTGAAGGAGCTTGTGGCTCTCATTTCTGACATCTGCAGGGATCAGCAGGTTTCTTCTGAGAGCTCAACCATCACCTGCAGCCTTCGCCGTGTGCACACCACGCCCAACACCATGACCAACCTCAGTGTGTCCAGCGTGGCAGTGCCCACAGAGTGCCTGGTCTGCTCAGAGCTGGCCTTGCTCATCCATTTCTTCCCATGCCAGCACAGTATTGTGTGTGAAGGTGAGTCCTCACTGATTTTTTATTTTTTTTCTCATGGTTTTCTTCCCAGCCTCTCTCTTTGCCCTGTCAGAAATCTAGCCCTGCTCACACACAGAGCTTTTGTGCTGTTTGTGTCCTGAAGCAACCCCAGCGTGATTTCAGCATCTCAGACAGCCAAAGTTATCTCTGAAAAACACAAAATGTTCTGCCCACCTGCTGCTTGGGACTCCAGGCAGCTTTGTTGGGCCTGGGTAATTCAGAGGGAAAGCCAGTTCTGGCTGGCAGTGCTTTACCCCCCAGAAACCTCCTGAGAAGGATTTCCCTCTCCTCTGGCTCTCCTAACTCTTCATTCTTTGGGATTTCAGCTGATTTAAGGGCAGCCTGCTCAGACTTGCCAGCAAGTTCATCTCACAAGGCACAGAGTGAGTGAGCACAGGGAGTTTGCTCAGAACTCTGTGCCAGAGCTTCATCCTCTTCCCCCAGAGCTGCAGCAGCTCCAGGGGCTCAGAGCAGGGAGGATTTAAAGTGATGTGTTTGCTGCTGACCTGGGAAAGATTAAATAAAAGAGTAGGGCACAGCTCAGAAAGCAGGTGGTGACCTCATTCCATGCAGGAGCAATCCCTCAGTCACCCAGGGAGGCTCAGGTTGTTCAAATCTGATCTTCTTGAGTCTGTTGTGGGTTTAATTGTCATCTCTCCTTGTGGCAGAATGCTCCAGGAGGATGAAGAAGTGCATCAAATGTCAAGTGACAATTACCAAAAAGCTGAAACAAGGTATGTCCTGGCTGTCCTGCTGCTCAGGGCTGTGGGGAGGGTCCTCACAGGCTTAGCTTGAGGGGCATCAGTGATTTTCAGTCAAATAAGAGTTCATTTATTTTGGCTTTGTGTGTGTGTGTGTGCCTGTTGCATTATCCACCTTCAGAGAGGAAAAAAAAGTGGATTTTAATAGATTTTCTCAGGTGTCGGAGCCAAGCTCAAGCTGCATAGGACAGGACATTTAAGGGAGCTTTACTGGGCCTGGCTTATTTTGTATATTGAGAGCAGTCAGGTTTCACATGGGGTGATTTAACAGTAAAAATTCATGAGGGAGGGAAAATTACACCTTGTGCAAGCCTTGCTCCTCCCCTGGCTGAGAAATCAGTGTCTGTGCAGGGCTGGCATGACCCAGCTATGCAGAAATCTCAGAGCTGGAGTATTTCAATAAAGGTTTTCAGCCCAGATTTCTCTCCTGTCCACGTTTCCCAGTGTCAGGAGGAGCTGTGATGTCAGCAGGGCAGCAGCAGGATTTGCTTTTGCCATGGGGTTGATGCAAGTTGCCACTGAGATCACTCTCAGAGCATGTGAGGATTTAATTGCATGTCCTGCATGTGACTGAGCATTGTGGGCTTTTTTTGGAGTCAGCCTTGTGACTTGATGCCTGGAAAAAAAGCAGGAATCAGTCCCATGGCACTGGACAGGCACAGCTGGCAGAGCCAGAGCTCCTCTCTGCAACTCCAGCCTGCCAAAAATACCACTTTAGACCTGACACTGGACAGCAGCATTTGTCTTTGCTGCAGACTGGCAGCAGAATAATGATGGGAATTCCAAAGAGGGCATTTGCAGGCAGATTTCCAGTGGAGGAGGAACATCAAGGTCTGAAATACCAGCAGGATTTCCCTGGCAGTGATGTCTTCAGTGCTTGTCTTTGACAAGCTCCCTGTCCCCAAGGACTGGGTTTGAAATCACTTCTTGCACCACTAATGTGCAGCTAATTCCAGAATTAGGAATGGGACATCTGTAGTGAAGTAAATCAGTAAATCACAGTGTAAATCAGTGATTCAGGAGCAGAAAATGAGCAGTGGGAGCTGCACTGAGAATATTTACCCAAACTCCCATTGTCCAGGATTTGGGATTCTTTCATTTCAGAGTCAACCAAATGACTCTTATTTATGTAAAACTCTTCATTTATGGAAATGAAAACTGTAAAACTCAACACAGGTGTTCAGATGGTTTCTTCTGGTTTGACCATGTGTGTCCTGAAAGACACACACAATTTCTCAGACATTTCTTGGGCAGAAATTGGAGTCCCAGGTGTGACCAGGAGGCTGAGAGAACACAGTAAGGATCCCTGTAAGGATTCCCAGATTAGTGGGGCAGAATATCACAACCAACTTTGAATATTTTCACTTGAAGTGAGCAGCATATTCCAGAGCACCAAGGCAGGAATTTCAGACAGGATTTAAAAAAACCAAACCATGCCAAACAAACACAAAGCACTGAGTTAGTAAAAAAAAAAAAACATCACCCCAAGGATTTTTATTTGATCCCTGGCTGAGTGCAGAGAGTGCAGTGTGAGTGGGATGCTGCTGCTGGGAGGGGCAGAAGGAGGAGTTAATGAGTTAATTAAGGCTGATCTCTGCCCACAGACAGCACGGAGGTGGAGTGCAGCCCCAGCTCGGAGTGCACGGAGCAGAGGAAGCTGATGGAGGAGCTGCAGAGCCGCTACCGGCAGATGGAGGAGAGGATCACCTGCCCCATCTGCATCGACGACCAGATCAAGCTGGTGTTCCAGTGCGGGCACGGCTCGTGCCCAGACTGCAGCACGGCGCTGACCGTGTGCCCCATCTGCCGCCAGGCCATCCGCGAGAGGATCCACATCTTCGTCTGAGGGTGCTCCTCCACCCCCATCTGCCTCCAGGACATCCAGGACAGGATCCACATCTTCGTCTGAGGGTGCTCCTCCACCCCCATCTGCCTCCAGGACAGCCGGGGGAGGATCCACATCTTGGCTGAGGATGCTCCTCCTCCCTGTGCCCCATCTGCCCACAGAGGATCCACAGCTTCGTCTGAGGGTGCTCCTCCACCCCCATCTGCCTCCAGGACATCCCGGACAGGATCCACAGCTTCCTCTGAGGATGCTCTTCCTCCCTGTGCCCCATCTGCCCACAGAGGATCCACATCTTCCTCTGAGGATGCTCTTCCTCCCTGTGCCCCATCTGCCTGGGAGAGGATCCACATCTTCGTCTGAGGATGCTCCTCCACCCCCATCTGCCTCCAGGCCAGCCGAGGGAGTATCCACATCTTGGCTGAGGATGCTGCTCCTCCCTGTGCCCCATCTGCCTCCAGGCCATCTGCAAGAGGATCCACATCTTCGTCTGAGGGTGCTCCTCCACCCCCATCTGCCTCCAGGCCATCCAGGAGAGGATCCACATCTTCCTCTGAGGATGCTGCTCCTCCCCTGCCCTGACTGAGTCCCATCTGCCCGGGAGAGGATCTACATCTTCATCTGAGGATGCTCCTCCCTGGCCCTGACCCCATCTGCTGCCAGGCCATCCAGAAGAGGATCCACATCTTCGAGGATCCACATCTTCATCTGAGGATGCTGCTCCACCCCCATCTGCCTCCAGACCATCCAGGAGAGGATCCATGCTGCTCCTCCCCGTGCCCTGTCTGCCCAGGACAGGATCCACATCTTCCTCTGAGGATGCTGCTCCTCCCTGTGTCCCATCTGCCCGGGAGAGGATCCCCATCTTGGCTGAGGATGCTGCTCCTCCCCGGCGCCAGCCCTGCTGTGCTTCCTCCCTCCGCAGGGGTTTGGCTCCCTGGGAAAAGGAGGGAAGCAAAGGAGGGATGTGCCAGGGGAGGAGGAAGAGGAGGAGGAGAAGGAGGAGTCCCCTCTGGGGTGTCCCAGGGAAGGGACAGTCCCTCCCTCACGTGTGCTGCTCATCCACCACCACTGGACTGACCATGCTTCAGAGCTGGGCTGGGCACATCCTGGGGTGCTCCAGAGCTGAGCAGATCCTGGGGTGTTCCAGAGCTGAGCAGATCCTGGGATGCTCCAGAGCTGAGCAGATCCTGGAATGTTCCAGAGATGAACAGATCCTGGGATGCTCCAGAGCTGGGCAGATCCCTGGAATGTTCCAGAGATGAACAGATCCTGGGATGCTCCAGAGCTGAACAGATCCTGGGATGCTCCAGAGCTGAGCAGATCCTGGAATGTTCCAGAGCTGAGCAGATCCTGGGATGCTCCAGAGCTGAGCAGATCCTGGAATGTTCCAGAGATGAACAGATCCTGGGATGCTCCAGAGCTGGGCAGATCCCTGGAATGTTCCAGAGATGAACAGATCCTGGGATGCTCCAGAGCTGGGCTGAGCAGATCCTGGGGTGTTCCAGAGGCATCCAGGAGAGCTCCCAGCTCCCGAGGAGGTCCAGGACCAGCTGTCCCAGGTGCCAGGGACAGGGAGGGATGTCCCCAAGCCCCTGTGCACCCCTGGGGCTCAGCAGCCCAGCTGGATGTCAGGAGTCCTAAAGACAGAGCGTGTGCCTTAGAGAAAAAGTAGTGAACACTGATTGGAGAAAATCTGTTAAAACAAATATTTCTGACCTCTAAGTGACACTCTTCTTCTTCTTCTTCTTCTTCTTCTTCTTCCATATTTTATTTTATTTTTTTGGCAGAGCCGTGTGTTCAGAGACTCCTGAGCTTTCTATCCATAATGCCAAAGGCAGGTGTTAAATACTCCAATCAAAGTGTAAAGAAAATAAATAGTAATAATTAAGATACGAGGGGGAGGAGGAAAAAAAAAAAAAAAAAAAAGGGATTTCATTTTTGTTTCTTTGTTTTGCAGCAAAACTTAATAAAATAAAAATATATATTTTCCTGAGCATTAAAAATGAATGTACAAACAGTAGCTGTATTGTTTTCCAGCTGAGTGGAGAATTATTACCACTCAGTCATCCTGTAAAGTAAATTTTGGTGGAAGTGTGGCTGTTTATCTGGGGTCTGGTGATACAGTGGTGCCCAAACCCCCTGTTTGTTACATATTGGAAGCAATATTTAAACAAACAAAGCAAAACAAAAATTCCAGTGTTCCTCTGCTCCCTTTGTTCCTTAGCAAAGAGGTGGCAGATCTTTCCAAGCAATGTGGAACTGTGTGGAGTGTGTGGTGGTGATGGGAATATTGATTATTTATAGCCCTGTGGTTTATTCAGAAAGTTATTTCAGCAGTTCTTGACTTCTAGAGATAATGTTTATCCAGATATTCACTTGAGTTTGTTACAGTTTCAATAGATTTTATTTTTTTTTTAATCTGTGAAAGTGGATCATATTTAACTCCTAAATTATTTATTTGGCTCCTGCTTAACACCCAAATAACCTGAAGCTGAACTTCAGAATCAGCTTTGGTGTAAAAATCAGAGGTGCAGATTCTCATTATTTCCCAGAAATCCAAGCTGATGGGAATGCCTTTGGAATAATCCAGAAATTTCCCCAAAATCTTTGCTGGGGCAGCAAAACAAAAGTGCTCAAAAGTCCAAATCTGAGCCAACTTTATCCTGTGTAATCTGCTTTTATTAACCCCTTTTTGGGGCAAGGGAATAATTTTGCAGACTATTTATTACCCCCAGATTATTAATTTTATCCATATTATTATTATTCATATTATTCATATTGGTAGAAAGTTCAGATTGGTAGAAAAGAGGGAGATTTTTTTTTTTTTCTTGCAAAGCAGAGTCAAGTAAAAAACCCATCTCTCCTTTATGGTCCCACTAATCTGTGCTGCTCCCAGGATTTTAGGAGGATTGAACCACCCACAAATTGATTATTAATATTAAATTAATTATAATGTTAATATATAATTAGTACATATTACAATAGAAATATTATATATTTCTATTAATTACTATATTAACTATATAATATAATGTAATATATGATATGATATGATATGATATTATATTATATTATATTAATATATTAAATTATAATATTGAAGTAATGCAATTTAATATAAATTACTTCTATTAAATTAATTATAATATTAAAATCATATCACATTAATTATAACATTAAAACCAGGTTATTAATACATCCCACCAGACAGCAGGGACAAAAACATCCCCAGCCAGGGGAGCAGTTCTCAGATCACTGTGGATTCATTTTGGTTTTGCCTTTTTCCCTCATTTCACCCCCAAATTTCTGCTCCCAGCTCAGAGCTGAGCCCCAGCCTGGGTCAGGCCAGTGCAGCATTTCTCTGAGCAGCAGCTCCAAGTGACACTTCAACAAAATATTCCTTCTCCTGTGCCAGCTGGAGCTGTTTGCAGCTCATTTGTTTTTCATCAGAGCGTGGATTTTTCTAGGAACATCAGCAGCTGCTGGTCACGAGGGGCTGCGGGCTAAAAAATGGGAAAATTCTCTTCAGGCCCCAAACATTCCTGTTCTCCCTCTTCCAGCACACAAAGCCTTTTTTTTTTTAGCCCATGACCCACAGAAAAAAAAACCAATTTTTCAGTGCCATTCCCACAGGAATGTTGGGTTGTTGGTTTTATTTTTGTTTTTTTCTCCCCAAGTTGGGAGCTGAAGGGTGAAATCTGGAAGTGCCCAGGAGGGAAAATCCCATTCCCTGCAGGTGAAATCCTCATCCTGCTGCCTTGAGCCATCAGATTTTTGGGTCCTTCTCCTTTCCTCAGCTCCGTGCAGAATTCCCAGATCACCACAGGGTGTTTAATTCCAGTGCTGAATAAATAGAGATTCCCTGAATAAACAAATTTCATGAGAGGTGAGGTTCCTTTGGCACAGCCAGAGATCCCCACTCCCAGCACTGATGGTTTTTTTTCTCTGTAGCATCTCTTAGCACAGATTTACAGGTTCAAAACTTACAGGTTTTGCTGTAAGATTTGTTGTCATAAATTGCTTTTTGTGTTATTTTTGGGCACTGGGATGAAGCAGTGCCAGTGTCCTGAGAAACGGAGCAGAGTTACTGGAAATTGTGCTGAAAAAATAACATTTCATGGAGGCTGAGCAAAGGAAAGGAGAGAAACGCTAAGGATAATCCATAGAGGTGAAAAAAATCCTTATTTTTGAGCTGAAGGCTGCCCTGGGGAAGGGAGCCATGTGTTGTGTGTTTAAAGCAAATATTTCAACAGCAGAGTGAAAACAGCAAAGCTGAGCTGGTGGAAGGAGGGGAGTGCATCCTGCTGTGCAAATAATCCCCTGCTCCGTGTCCTCCACAGCCTCTCCTTGCCCTTTTTTGGGTTTTTTTCCACCATTCCCTCCCTGCTGAGAGCAGCTCAGAGCTGGGATGTGCATCCCTGGGTGCTGGAAAATCCCTGCAGAGCTCCCTGCAGGGGAGGATGAGGATGGATGCAGGGGGGAAGAAGCAGAGTCTGTGCCTGCCCAGCTCTGGATCCACTCACACCAGGAATTCCAGAGCTCTTGAGGCACAAAGGAATGTTTCAGAGCCGGGATGACAGATCCTGCCCCATCCAACCCAAAATCTGCCCTGCAGAACGTCTCCTGCCTAGGCAGGGCTGGGGGACATCCCCGCAGTGCCACCGAGGGTTCTGTGCCCTGCTGGCTCCGAGGAGCAGGGGTTTCATCAGCCAGGCTCCATCTGGAGTGCTGGATCCTCTCCTCAGCTGATCCCTTTGCCCTAAAACCCGAGGTTTGTCTTGGCCTCGGTGCTCTGCTGGTTTCTCAGCAAATATTTGGCTGGAGCTTGAATCCCTTTGAAAGCTCTCTGCGGCCAGGGTGTGCTGAATTTCTGTCTAGATGGGCACGGTGGGGAGAGAGAAAGCAAAGTGCTTTCCAAGAAACCCTGCTCTCCCTTCTGATCCTCCCAGGGATAACCTGGCAGGGGAGCAGGATCCCAAAAATGTCCCAGAGGTGGTGCCAAGGTTCCCATTCAGCACAGGATGAAGCAGCTCATGTGCAGCACGGTCTCTTCCCATTCAGAACGGTTCTGTGACTCATGGAAAAAGGGTTTTCCTGGCTGTGCTCAGCCTTTGTGGCTGCGTGGAGAAGCGTTCAGGAACAGTGAGGTCCTAAAAATTCACTTTGCTGAAGCTCTGTGCTCTCACTCGGCCGTGCTGAGACGGATTTCACAAAAACTTCTGCATGAGGAAGGGAATTCTTGCTCCCCTCAGGCTGTGCTTGTGTGAGTCCCCAGTCCCTGCTTAAAAATTGGGTTCTTCTGCTCCTCGTCACAAAAATGAGAGCCACAAAAATGAGTGAGTGACACAAAAATGAGTGAGTGACACAAAAATGAGGCACTGAGTGGGTGCTTGGAGGGTTTCAGGTCCTGATTCCACGTGGACCTTGAGCAAATCTCACCTGCCCAGGGCTGGGTCTGAGCCTGTCCAAGGTGCAGGACAAAGCCAGCCACAAAAATGAGTGAGTGACACAAAAATGAGGCACTGAGTGGGTGCTTGGAGGGTTTCAGGTCCTGATTCCACGTGGACCTTGATCAAATCTCACCTGTCCAAGGTGCAGGACAAACCCTGCCCTAAATCAGGATTAAACTGTCCTGGGTCAGGATTAAACTGTTCTAAATCAGGATTAAACTGCCCTGGGTCAGGATTAAACTGCCATAATTCAAGATTAAACTGCCCTAAATCAGGATTAAACTGCCCTAGGTCAGGACTAAATTGCCCTAAATCAGGATTAAACTGCCCTGGGTCAGGATTAAGCTGCCCTAGGTCAGGATTAAATTGACCTGGTCAGGATTAAACTGCCCTAAATCAGGATTAAACTGCCCTGGGTCAGGATTAAACTGTCCTAAATCAGGATTAAACTCCCTGGGTCAGGATTAAACTGCCCTGGGTCAGGATTAAACTGCCCTAAATCAGGATTAAACTCCCTAGGTCAGGATTAAACTGCCCTGGGTCAGGATTAAGCTGCCCTAGGTCAGGATTAAACTGCCCTAGGTCAGGATTAAGCTGCCCTAGGTCAGGATTAAGCTGCCCCCAGCTGCTCCAGGACGAGAGGAGGGTGTGCAGTGCACGAACTACAATCTCCCTCCAGCCCTGCTGAGCCCTCCTGGCCCTGGGAGAGGCCCTCGAAGCTGTTCCGTGGCTGAAACTCAATGTTCTTCCAGCTCTGGGTTTGATAACAACATTTTCCCTTGGAGCCAGTGCTGCCTTGGTGGAGAAGAGCTCTTGGCTGGAGCTCTGGAGCCCCATTCCCAGGCAGGTTTTCCCCTCAGGACTCCCCTCTCCATCAGCATTTTTCTGTTCTCTGCAGGTTCTAAAAGGAACTGAGAATTCGGGCACTGGAGGCATAGCTCAGCTGAGTTCTCCCTTGGTGCTGTCATTGCAGCTGGAACACCAACAGGGCTGGATTTGCATCTCTTTGGAGCTCCAAATGCAGGATTTTCCTGCCATGCACAGGCACATTCCTTCTGCTGCTGGGGGAACCATCCCTAGAAAGCAGCTGAGAGCACCAATTCCACAGGAGGAGAGCTCTGCACCCTGGCTTTCTGCTCTTCCTCCTCTCCCAGCTTCCCTCTGTGGTTCCATCCATCCTGTTACTCCCTCTCCTGTCCTTTTCCTGGGGTCTGAACCACTGCTGCACTCGGTGCTGGTTTGTCCTGGTGAGAACTGAGCAGGGAAATGTTCATGGAATTGGGCACCCAGACCACTGGCCTTATTTCTCCTGAGCTCTTTGAAAGCTCCAGGCCAGCTGGAGGCTGCAAGTGGATGAAACTAAGAAAACACCGCAGCCTTGATTATGAACTGGGGTGGAAAAAATTCCTATTAAAGCATTTTTCATTATTAAAATTGCAAGGCTTTTCTGACATCTTCCGAATGCCTCAGATGCCCCCAGGGAATTTTTACAGGACCTTCCCCCTGCCTGGCATTTGCTGCTGGAGCTGGGAGCCTGCAGAATTCCTTTTCCTCAACTGGGGTTGAGTTCAGCCCACCTCAGGATGAGACAGAAAAGTGCAGCTGTCCCTGAAAACCTGAGAATTTCTGAGTGAGCTTTTTCAGCTGAAAATCTGAGAATTTCTGAGTGAGCTTTTTCAGCTGAAAATCTGAGAATCTCTGAGTGAGCTTTTTAGGCTGTCTCTGAAAATCTGAGAATTTCTGAGTGAGCTTTTTCAGCTGAAACTGAGAATTTCTGAGTGAGCTTTTTCAGCTGAAATCCTGAGAATTTCTGAGTGAGCTTTTTCAGTTGTCTTGGAAAATCTGAGAATTTCCGAGTGAGCTTTTCAAAAAGCTCTGAATGGATTTGTGTCTGGAGATGCCTCAAAGAAGCTCCCGGGCAAACCCCTCCAAGCCTCTTGGGGACCCAAACCCAGCGTGACCCAAAAATCCCCCAAGCACACCAGAACCTGCAGCTCCCCAGCCGAGTTTGCTGGAAGAGGGGCTGCTGGTTTTACTTTTGGGGGATTTTATCAGCTCCCTGAGCAGTTTCCCAAGCAGAGAGCCCAGCCTGCTCTCCCAGCATCTCATTTTTCACCCCGGGACAGCCCGTGACAAATGACTGGAGCATCCCCAGTGACACATTCCAAGGGGCTGATGTTGCTTCTGGATTCCTCTTGCTGCCCTCTCCCCTGGTTTGTTTCTTTTTTTTTGAGTTTTTTTTTGGTTTTTTTTCTTTTTCATTACATGAAGCTGACAACTGCAGATTTGCCCTGTGTTGCTCACACAGTTAAAAGAAGAGTTCATGTCCACCCCAGCTTGTTTCACTTTGCTGCTGCTCCTCGGCCAGCCCAAATTTCAGCTGCAGTAACACGATCCCACTTGGCAGAGCCTGAGAGAATCTTTGGCACATTGGAAAGAGGCTTAATGTAAAGTCTGCTCTTTTTTTCTTCTCTTTTTTTTTTTTTAAAAATCTTTTTTTTTTTTTTTTTTTAGGGCTTTTTGAAACTGCCCTGGTTGTGCACAGCTCTGGCAGCTGCTGCAGGGCTGCTCACAAACGCTCCAAATGTGAGCTCAAGGATCACAAATGCGTTCTGTGCAGGGAATGTCTTGAGTGCCTGTCCCAAAAAAATCCTCCAGAAACCCCTCCAGGACGACATGGATCGGGCAGAACAACTTTCTGCAGGCAGGAGGAGAAGCTCCCTGTCCCTGGAGCAGAGGAGGAGCAGTGGCTGGAGGACCACGCTGGGGTTTTTGTGTCTGTTCCCTGTGCTGGCTGTGCTGGCAGTTGTGGAATATCCAGCTGGAATCCAGGAAATTCAGGTGAGGAGAAGGGATCTGAGCCTCAAAGGCCTGGGAGGGGAGTGGGGTGTCCAGGAGAGGTGCAGGTGTGCTCGGCTTAGAGGCTGGGATCTAAATGTCTAAATAAATGTCTAAATAGATAGATAAATACCTAATCCAAATGGAGAAATAGATCTAATGGGTCACAATAGATCTAAACAGATAAGAAGATCTATACAGACCTAAATAGATACAAATAGATCTAAATAGATAAATACCTAAATAGATAAATGTCTAATTATCTAATCTAAATAGATAAATATATCTAACAGGTCTGCAGATAAATAGGTCTAAATAGATAAATAGATCTGTAGACAAACAGATCTAAACAGACCTGAATAGATCCAAATAGATCAAAATAGATCCAAAGAGACAAATATCTAAATGGATAAATGTCTGAATATCTAATCTAAATGGAGAAATAGATCTCAATAGATCTAGAGACAAATAGATCTAAGTGGTAAGTATCTAAACAGATAAATGTCTTAATGTCTAAATAGATAAATAGATCTGAATAGATCTGTGGACAGATAGATCTCAATAGATAAATATCTAACTAGATGAATGTCTAAATATCTAATCTAAATATGTAAATAGATCTCAATGGATCTATAGACAGATCTAAATAGATCTGAATAAGCATCTAAACAGATGAATGTCTAAATATCTAAACAGATAAATTAATCTCAATATCTCTATAGACAAATAGATCTAAATAGGTCTAAATAGATAAATATCTAACTAGATAACAGTCTACATATCTAACTAGATAAAGTCTAAACATCTAATCTGAATAGATAAATAGATCTGAATGGATGTGTGAACAGATAGATCTCAATAGATAAATATCTAACTAGATAAAGTCTAAATATCTAATCTGAATAGATCAATAGATCTCAATGGATCTATAGACAAAGAGATTTAAATAGATAAATATCTAAATAGATAAATCCCTCAATTGCTCATCTAAACAGATAAATAGATACAAATAAATCTGTAAATAACTCTAAATAGAACAGTGGATGTATAGATTAAAAATATCTAAACAGATGAGCATCTGTAAGGGCAGCAGGAGGAGTTCAGGCTGCTGGAGCCCCTTTGTGCCAGGGTCCCAGAGGATAAATTGCTGCCAGAGGGATCAGGAGCCCGGGGAGGCAAACGGGGAACAGAGCTCGGGGAGTTTCCCTCGGAGATTTTTGGCTGCCCTGGGGATTTTCTGCTTTCCCAGCCCAGGCTGATGTGGCAGTGCCTGGCCGGGCTGGGCTGGGCTGAGCTAGGCTGGGCTGAGCTAAACTGGACTAGGCTGGGCTGATCTGAGTTAAACTAGGCTGATCTGAGTTAAACTGGGCTGAGCTGAGCTAGGCTGGGCTGAGCTAAACTGGACTAGGCTGGGCTGATCTGAGTTAAACTAGGCTGATCTGAGTTAAGCTGGGCTGATCTGAGTTGAGCTGGGCTGAGCTGAGTTGGGCTGGGCTGAGCTGAATTAAGCTGGGCTAGGCTGGGCTGAGCTGAGTTGGGCTGAGTTAAGCTGGGCTGAGCTGGGCTGAGCTTCCCTGCACTCCCTGCCCTGCTGTGGGGTCCAGGCTGGGACCTGCAGCTCTCAGCTGCCTCTCTTTGGGGTCACCCCTCAGTGGGACTCCCCAAATCCAGGGGGATCCCTGGCACTCCCAGGAGCTGATCTTCACTTTCTCCTTAACTTCATTTTAGCCTTTAATCCTATAAAAAAAAAAAGAATCTTTGGGGTTTTTGTGTATATGAGCATCCTGACACTGCCCTCATTTGCATCACATGCTCAGGTTGTTGTTAATTAGCCCTAATTCAGATGGAATTAATTACAGTCATTACAGCTCAGTGAAGGTCTGAGTGCCCAGGGTGAATAATTCAGAGCAGGGTGGTTGGCCCGTGTCTCACTCCATATATATATATATATAATTATATATATGTGTGTGTGTGTGTGTGTATATATATCTGTATAAAAATTAAAGATGCCTTTAATTTCTATCTGTATAAAAATGAAAGGCATCATTTCTTCCATGAGGAAGCAGCAGCCAGCTCCTGCTGCCTCTGGAATGTGAGGCTGGGCCACTGTCCCTGGCTCTTGGCCACTGCCTTGGTGCCTCTGGAGCCCAATTTTCAGTGTTTTATCCCCAAAAAGGAGAGACAGAGCTGGAAAACTTCCCAAAAACCCACTCTGGGTCCCATTCATTCCCCTCCAGGTTCTAAAAGGCTTTTCCAGCTGGAGCCAGACGTGTGGCACCAAATTCCAGCTCTTGTGCTGTTCCATGCTTTAAAGGCACTCCAGGCTTTCCAGGGCTCCTCTTGGCTTTGAGGGCATTTCAGAGCTCCCTGAAAGAGCTCCCTGCACAAAGATTTGCCTGTTTTAGTCATTTCTGCAGATTTACATCTGGGGAGTGACAGCACAGAGAGGAGGAAATGAGAATTTCCAGGCAGAGCTGCAGCACTCGCTGTGGCCAGGAGCCTCCTGAGGGCTCTTCCTGCTCTCCAAGAAGGAGAGGGGCAGGTTTGGGATGTTTTGGGATGATGCAGGGCTGCTCTCACCCCTTGGGTACCCCCAGGCAGAGCCAGAGGGGCTCCCCAGCCCCCCAGGTGTCCATGGATTTTTTTATTCTGCACTCTGAAGCCCCTTAGAGCAGAGAAGAGAATAAAAAGAAAATCAGTTGGGATTTATTAAAGAGAATAAATTGGGATTTATTAAAGGCCTTCAAGAGGTGCACCTTGGGCAGTGAAAACCTCTGAGGGTTGTCAGAAACCTCTGGGTTTCCAGCCCAGGATGGATGATGGTCTCAGGTTTTTCACACAATTAAAATTTGGTCCATTTACATATCAGGGGTTAATCCTCTAATTACAGCTTCAGGTACTGAAGTCATTTACCTCAATTCTCCCCCTGAAATTTAGTTTTATTTATGCTTTTTGGGGCCTGAGGCTGTGGGATGTCCTTGGATCTCAGGCCTGGAGGAATTTTTGTATGTGACAAAATGTGAAAACGCTGACTAACACTTCAATATGGACTTCACAGTTATTCACTAATTCAGCATTTGAGATACACGGGCTAAATAAACATAAAGGCTAAACATAAAAGCTAAATATCAAGGCACCAGCTGCCCTGGAGTGTCTCCATGTCCTGTTTTGTCTTTAAGGAAGATGTGCCAGGCTCAGCTGTGCCCAGCCCAGCCCCTGCCCGGCCCAGGCGTTACACCATCACCCCCGGCCACCTCAAGTGGGACCACTTCAACCTCACCTACAAGTAAGGCCTGGAAGCAGCCCCAAAACTGATCCTGGGGTCTGGATCCTCCTGCTCTGTCCAGTGGTTTTGGGTCTTAGCCCTGTGGCTTTTGGCAGGGCAGGGAGAGCTGCTGAAGCCACTCCAAAATAGGAATATTTTGGTAAATGCTGCACCTCTGGCTGGAGTGAGATGTTCAGGGCACAGACAGGCTCCCCTCCCTCAGAAGGTCCTGACTGAGGATTAATTCTCTTTATCCTGGTAGTTTTTTAAGAGTTCTGTATGAACCTCAGTGAGCACAGAGGGAAATCTCTGGGTAATCACTGGTGAATTTGAATTTATCCTTTCAGGTTTTCACTGTTGAAAGGTGGACTCAGGATTGCTGTGATTTCAGGGCTCTTAGCAAGGCAGAATAACCCCTCTTAGTTAGGGAGCAGCTGAGTACTTGAGTCAAGCCCTAAACTTTTGAATATTGTTCCAGAAGTCAATGGGAGGATTCCCAAATTCTTAATGCAGGAATTTTTCAGAGCTGAGCCCTCCCTTGGACCATCCCTTCAGCAAAATTGAGTTTGCTGATGTTGTTCTGCTTAGTGTGGGATTTTAGCAATCTTTCTTGATTTATAAAACCTGAGAGATCAGTACAGAATCTGGAAAATAGAAAAGTTAAACCTGAGGAATCAGCACAGAACCTGGAAAATAGAAGAGTCAAAACCTGAGGGGTCAGCACAGAATCTGGAAAACAGAAAAGTTAAACCTGAGGGGTCAGCACAGAAACTGGGAACCAGCAAAGCCAAAGCCTGGTGGATGAGGAGGAGGTTTCCTGATGCTGCTGTGTGTCCCTGCAGGATCCTGTCCTTCCCCAGGAACCTGCTGAGCGCCAGGGCCACGCGCCGCGGGCTGGCGGCCGCGTTCCGCATGTGGAGCGAGGTGTCCCCGTTCAGCTTCAGGGAGGTCCCCAGGCACCTCCCCAGCGACCTCAAAATCGGTGAGTGCCCCCCAGGTCCTGCACTGGGCCAGGGAGCTGTGGGTGTGGGAATTCCAGCAATTCCAGAGTGTAATTCCAGGGTGTAATTCCAGGGTCTGGGAGGCAGGAGGGCTCTCCTGTGCCGGGTGGACTCTTGGGTAAGGTTTGGGGCTTTGGCAAAGGAAAAGTGCTTTTGTCTGCTCCAGGGAATATTAATGTCACAATTATCACTTCTTGTGAAGCTGGGAAGCTTCAGGCATTTGCCAAGAGTGAACCCTCAAATTCTCTGCTGCTGGGATGCCACAGGTGGGGAAAGCCACAGAATAAGAATCCACAGGTGGGGAAAGCCACAGGAGAATAAGAATAAATCAGAAAGAATAAGAAATAGAAATAGAAATAGAAATAGAAATAGAAATAGAAATAGAAATGAATAAGAATAAGAATAAGAAATAAGAAATAAGAGCCCACAGGTGGGGAAAACCATGGGAAAATAAGAATCCACAGGTGGAGAAAGCCACAGGAGAATAAGAGTAAGAATCCACAGGTGGGGAAAGGCACAGGAGAACAAGAATGCACAGATTGTTACTCCACAGATAGGAAGGTGAATGTTGGGAGGTGCAATGAGCCAGCCAGGGTCACAGAGCAGGTGAGGGGTTCAGGTTGTTGGTGGGTCCATTCTCCCTTTTGCTGATCCCTCTGGAGCAGTCACTGCTCCATCCCTTCCCTCCTCCCCTCCACGGCTGTTCCTGAATTTCCTGGGGCCCAGAAAAGTTCAGTGCTGAGGACTTTTGTGCTCAAGCCCAGCTGCCAGCTGCCAGTTCTTCCTGGCATTTCTGAGGCACGGATTCCCGGTGCCAAGCAGGTTCACCCTCACTTCACACCACGTTCCCCTCCTGATGAGGCTCCAGGGCTCTGTCCTGTGCCCTGTGGGAGCTCCAGGTGCCCAATTCCAGGGATTCAGGATCCTGCTGCAGCTCTGACTCCAAGGCATCTGCTTATTTATGTTCAAAATGGAACAATCCAGGGGTTATCAGCTCTGCCCAGCCTCTCTCTCAAAAAGATCATTTCCACCTGGTGTTGCAAGAGGAGCTCAGCATTCCCTGCTGGAAAACAAATTCCTGTGTGTCCTTTGGGAGCAGCTCTCCATGCAGGGTCAGTGTTGCCATCACTCCTGACAATTGATTTGCATTTATCTTTCCTTTTGAGGCTGGAAAACCCCTGGGATCCCATCAGAGACCTTCCCAGTGAGCCAGGGCTTTCCTGGGCAGGCTGATCCTGCTGGATAACTGTGGAAACTCAGGGCACTGAGAATATTTCTGTTTGCTACGTCCAGTCTAAGCTGGAGTGGTCTTATTCCTTCAATGACTTCATTGATTTTTTTGAGGTCATGGAGTAATCTCCATGAATTTGAAGATTTTTTTGTGGATGACAAACACTGGGGAATTTTAGGCGTTGGTTGTTGGTTTGATGTGATTTTTCTGCAATTGTTTTTCGACTAATTTTTTGAGAGTACTTAATTTTTTTTGTTTAAGGGGTTATTGATTTACTTAAATGGGATTGTCAGTCTTTTAGCTCAATTTTAAGGTGATGAGTGCTACAGTGCTACGTCCAAGAATCGAATGAAGTGTTTTGAGAAATTTTTGAGAATTTCCCTGTCTGCTCTGGGGTGCCCTGACCCCCAGGGGCACAGATAACCCTCAAACTGCTGCTTTTCCCCCAGGTTTCTATTCCATCAACCACACAGACTGCCTGGAGTCTCTGACCCACCACTGCTTCGACGGCACCACGGGGGAACTGGCCCACGCCTTCTTCCCACCCCACGGAGAAATCCACTTTGATGACCACGAGTACTGGATCCTGGGCAACACCAGGTTCAGCTGGAAGAAAGGTGAGCACTGGGAGCACGTGGAATGGCTGGGGTTTAAGTTTTAGTCTGGGATTTGGCTGAGTTGGGAAAGTGACAGCGGAAATGGTTGGGGTTTTGTTGTGGGGTTGGAAGTTGTTGTTCCTCTGCCCTGAGCCCCAGCTGTGTGGTGGCAGAGCCATTTCTTGCTGGAATTACTGGAATTAGTGAAATTATTGCATAGTTCAGCCACATCCTTCAGTTAAAATCCATGTGCTGGATGCTGCCAAGAGGCTTGAGTTGGACTCCAGGCTGTGGAGGTCAAACAAGAGCGTCTTTCAGCCCGGAATCTTCCCAACCCCATTTCTTCAGCTCAGGGCTGTGGGAGCAAAGGGCAGGAAGCTGAGGAGGATCAATGCAGCACTGGGTCAAACATTTCTGCTCCAGAGCAGCTCCTCTGGAGCCTGGCACTGCTCTGGGTCCTGCTGCTGGGAAATGGAAGCACATGGAAATTATTGGCTGGATTTGGGCCCAAGGAGACACAGAGATGAACCTGGGGCAGCTTTGCCTTATGGAGACTGACCTGGAACAGAGACTAGACAGAGCTATAGAATAAAGCACGGATTTATGAAAAGGATCTCCTCCATGGATCCACCTTGGGCAGCACAAGAGCCCAGCCAGGGCTGCAGCCAAGGTGAACCAAAATGGTCCCAAAATGAACCCGAAATGAACCAAAATGGTCCCAAAATGAACCCAAGGTGAACCAGAATGGTCCCAAAATGAACCCAAGGTGAACCCAAATGGTCCCAAAATGCACGATGGTCACGGGGTCTCTCCCTGGGATCAGCTCTGCTCCATGTGCACATTGCAGTTCATTGTCCAATCCCAGCTCAGCCCCTGCACTCCCATCCTTGTTTTTCTCTCTCCAGCCCACGCTGTTTGTGCTCTTGGGCTGAGATTTGGATCATTTGTCCTTGGTCCCCAGCTGGAGCAGGAATTGTTTTGTCTCCCTGCTCTGTGCACAGAGCTCACCATCTCCTGATATGAACCCAGACCCACACACTAAAGCAGCTCAGAATCTGAAAAATAGAAAAACTAAAACCTGAGGCACCAGCACAGAATGTGAAAAACAGAAAAGCCAAAACCTGAGGCATCAATACAGAACCTGGAAAATAGAAAAGTTAAAACTTGAGGAATCAGCACGGAATCTGAAAAATAGAAAATCCAAAACCCGAGGCATCAAAACCTTTCCTGTGGTTTCACCCCAGGAAGAATGCTGACAGAGCAGAGCTGTGGAGCCCAGTCCCAGCTGGTTTCTCTCCCCAGGAGTGTGGCTGACAGACCTGGTGCACGTGGCTGCCCACGAGATCGGACACGCCCTGGGCCTCATGCACTCGCTGAACCCCAACGCGCTCATGCACATCAACGCCACCCTGACGGGCAAGAAGAGCATTTCCCAGGACGAGGTGTGGGGAATCCACAGGCTCTACGGTGAGAGGGGGGCTCAGGCTCTGCAGGCTCTGCCTCACCTGGCAGCCGGAGGCTGTGGAGCGCTCGTGGTGTCAATCCCACCTCGCGCTCCTGCTTTGGAGCGTTCCCCATCCCGGCTCCACGCTGTTCCTCCTGACTTTTCCTGCCTGAAGTTGGTTGCTGAGTCTCCTCCAGCCCGTCTAACAGCTCATCTCCTGTTCCAGGCTGTGAGGACAGGTTGTTTATGTGCCCAGCGTGGGCCAAGAAAGGCTTCTGTGAGAAGCGCAGGAGGCTGATGAAGAAGCACTGCCCGTCCAGCTGCGACTTCTGCTACGGTACCAGGGCTGCTCTGGGGCTGGGGCTGCACACAGGGAGGGGAAAGTCACCTGGGACAGGCAGGGTCTTCATTTCACACCAGGCAGCGGTGACACAAGTGATCCAGCTCCAAGCAGAGAGGGTGGTTTGTGCATCTGAGCCCAGATCCAGGCCTGGAACGAGGAATAATTCAACATTTATGGAGTGGAATGTGAAATTCCTCTCAAATTTAATTCCTGGCTTTAGCTGAGCCAGGGAACAGCAAGGCAGAGAGAGGGGCTGCAGAGCAGCTGCTGAGGCAGGGATGGGGCAGAAACAAGACAAAAACAATTCCAGCACAGCTGGACTGGAGCTGCTCCCAGAACAGCACAGAAAGGTGATTAATCACAGGATGTTAATCACCTTCTCCAGCCTCAGGTGAGGAACTCCTGCAGGGCAAGTTGCTGCAGCTGTGGCAGATAAATTGAGTCAGATAAAAACTGCTGTCCTGAGGATATCCTGGATAACCAGTGCCTCTTCAGCACAGAGGGTTTTTGGTTTTTTGGGCCACATTAATGAAAGATGCAATTAGATACTTAAAAACCCAGATATTCCACAGGCTTTTCACACACTGGACTGTTCATGTCCTCTTCCACAGCTGTGAAAGGGACAAATTGATTTTTATCCACCACAAAGTTTTTACCTTTGCACATCAATCATGTTCTTTGTCTATCCAAGAATTGCTCAGGAAGAGGAGGCACTTTTTCACAAAATCATTATTTAAGGAGAGTTAAATGTATTAATTAAAGTGTTTTGGGGTGCTAAAGCTCCTTAACTGCTGCCATTTCCTCCTCTCCTTGCACAGAATTCCCATTTCCAACGGTGCCCCCCACTCTGCCCCCACCAAGGACCAAAACCAAGACAGTTTCTGAGGGCAGGAACGTCACCTTCCGCTGCGGGCAGAAGATCATCCATAAAAAAGGCAAAGTCTAGTAAGTGCTCTGTGCTCATCCAGGCCTTGGGAAACTCCATGTGCCAAAATCCACGAGGAAGAATGACAAAAATAGGATAAAGAAGGATGGAGTTTATAATCTGGAGCTCAAAAAGGATAAAATCCAATTTTATATATAGCACAAAGCTAATTCCTACTATCAAGCCAAATTCCCTGACTTGAATATTTATATTATTTATATTCTGCAAAATAGTTATAAAAATTTATATTTTTATATTTATATTTTTATAAAAATGCTTAGTATTTTTAAAATTTTATATTAAAATATTTATATTCTTTATATTCTGCAAAAAATCCATAGAATTTAAATTTACCCTTTCAGGTTTTAATTATTTGGCTGTTACTGAAGTATGAACAGGTTCTGGATGTATCTAAAATTTAGGTTGGCTCAAATCCATGACTTGGTTTAGACTTGAGGACCCAAATTCCCATCAACTTTCAGAGATTTAAACTCCAAAATGACTCATGATTATGCCCTGATTATCCACCTGAAATAAAGAGTAAAACTCAACTGTGTTTTGGTAAAGTCTCTGCTCTACACTTATTCAGCAAAGTTTATTAGTAGAAATAATTAATATTGAGTTTAACTTCCATTGTTTTTCTTCTGACAGCTGGTATAAAGACAAGGAACTTCTGGAATATTCCTATCCAGGTTATTTATCCCTAAATGAAGATCACATGAGCATCATTGCAAATGCAATTAATGAAGGAACTTACACTTGCATAGTGAAGAAAAAAGAAAGAATCCTGACTACTTATTCCTGGAGAATCAGACTGAAGCACTGACCCAGCCCTGGATTCAGCTCCTGCTCCTGTTTCCAGCTGTTTCTTTGGCATTTTAGATTTAATCTCCAGTAGTGCAACTGAATTCTCCAGCAGCTGCTTTGGTACCTTGGGCAAAAGAGACTCTGGGACTGGTTACTGGAATGTCAAACTCCTCCAGATTCCTTTGAATGATAAAGAATTTATCAACTATTTGCTGTACAGAGAATTAAAAACCTTTTTTTTTTTTGTAAGAAAAGTGTCATGTGGAGCTGTGTGAGCTGCAAAGCAGGAGCAGACTCTGCCCCAGCCCCTGGGCCAGTGGGGTGGCAGGAAAAGGACAAGTTTAACACTCAGAGTGTTTTCCTGCCATTTTTCACATCCTGGTGCACTGCAATAGAAAAAATTACACTGCTAAGCCTTAATTTACTTTTCTTTCACTTGCCAGGAGGATGAGGGTCACACAAACTCTGTTTTGCTCCTCACTCCAACATGTTCAGTTCAAGGAGACACAGAACAGCTCTTCCCCCCAGGTTTCCTGTGGTTTGAGGGTTTTCCTCTTATCCCAAGAGGCATTTATTGCTCAGAGCTGGTCCTTGAGGGGTCTGAGCTGCCCAATTTGCTAATTAAGGGGTCTGCACTGCCCAGTTTGGCAGTTAAGGGGTCTGAGCTGATCAGTTTGGTCCTTAAGGGATCTGAACTGCTCAGAGTTTGGTTCTTGAGGGCTCTGAGCTGCTCTTTTTGGTAATTAGAGGGTCTGAGCTGCTCAGTTTGGTCCTTGAGGGGTCTGAGATGCTCAGTTTGGCAATTAAGGGGTCTGCACTGCTCAGTTTGGTCCTTAAGGGGTCTGAGCTGCTCAGAGTTTGGTTCTTGAGAGTTCTGCACTGCTCAGTTTGGTAATTAAGGGTCTGCACTGCTCAGTTTGGTGCTTGAGGGGTCTGAGCTGCTCAGAGCCTGGTTCTTGGGGGATCTGAGCTGCTCAGTTTGGTAATTAAGGGATCTGAGCTGCTCAAAGTTTGGCTCTTGACGGATCTGAGATGCTCAGTTTGGTAATTAAGGGTCTGCACTGCTCAGTTTGGTAATTAAGAGGTCAGCACTGCTCAGTCTGGTCCTTGAGGGGTCTGAGCCTTGAGCCTGCAGGAATGAGGTGACTTCCTCCCTGAGGATGAGGGGAAAGTGCCCCATCCAGCTGGAGAGGAGTCAGGAGTGGCTGGCAAAGCTGGGAAGGGAACAATTCCATGTCATGGCCAAACTATGCACTGGGGTCATGCTTTAATCCTGCACAGCTTCCCTGCACTCCTGCTTTTCACTGGCTTCCTGGGGAAGCTTCTGGAACCAGGAATGTTCAGCTGTTTCTCCTTCAGCCTGAGGGGAACAGGGAGTTTTGTCTTGTCTTCCTCCACAGGAAAACACCCAGACTGCTTTCCCAGCTCACCACAACTGCAGCACAGCCACATTCCAGCCTTTCCCCAGCAAAACTCCCCAAAATGGACTGAAACTGATAAAATGTTTAGGATTGGAGTTAATCCCTTCCTGGCCTGGTGCCCAGCTGTGGTTGCAGGAAAATGTGGTGTTTTCCAGAGCTCCCTGTTCCCAAAACAAAGTGACAGCTTCACAAATCAGGGGCTGCAGAGGATGAGATTCCAACATGATTCCTCCTCTCCTCTTTCCCCAGAAAGGACTGGAATGTGGCCTTGCACAACCACTAAAAGCTGAGTTCTTCTCTGGATGGAAAAAGGGCATATATGAAAAAAAAACAACCAACTTCCACAGAAAATAAAAGTTTCAAGTCTCCATATTAAATCTTTTTGATTTATAAAACAATAGAGTAATTTGTTTTGCAGTGTAAATACATTTACAGAACAAAAAAAAAAAAAAAAAAATCTGGTCAGGAAGTATCAAACCCAGCCCAGCTCTCTCCAAGGTAACAGGATACAAATCTCATAATTGTCATTTTTCTTTTTGCCCCAAATATATTCAGACACAAACCATTTACTTACTCAAAATAAAAAATAATCTCTCTTTACTGTCACCAACATCCCACTTTGCTGCACGTGAAGCAATGAAATCCTTCACTCTATTAAACAATTGAAAATGTATTTTAATTCTACAAATTTACAAGGAAAAACAAAACAAAACAAACTCAACAACAACAAAAAACCCCTAAAAATAAACCAGAAACTGCTCCAGGACTGTTTTTTCAAGTTGTCCTTTGTCACAGTTTGTGATGATCCTGGGGTTTTCAGGTAACTCCAGTCCTCTAATGGAATGCAGCAGTTAAACTCCACATTGATTTATAAAACAAGAGCCTTGGAATCTGTGATAATCTTTTGAGTTTTTTTCACAGGGAAAAACATCTGGTGCCCCTGACACAGAACAGAACCAGGGCACTCAAATCCACTCACATGAATGGTGCTTTTTTTTTTGCTTTTTGGGGTTTTTTTCCCCTCTCCTTTTTCATGTTGAGTTCAAAACTTGAGGCTGAAGCCAGGTCCTGCAGCTGATGCTCCTTGATTTGTGGTGGTCAGATGGAAACCTGTGTCCTTCAGGTCATCATCACCCTGTGAAAACCAAGCACAGGGCACTGATCAGGGGCTGGGCAGCTGCATTTACCCCTCCAAAAATCTAAACAGCAAAAATAAAGTATCTCAAGATGAGAAATAAATGTTTGATTTAGTGGCATCACAGTTAAGGTTATTCATAATCTTTAAATATTGCTATTTCTAAATGTGACATTGCTAAGAGCAGTTGGAGTGTTCCTAGTTCCTGAACCCACTTTTGATGCATGAGAAATAAAAAAATGAGAAAGAAAAAAAATGGGCTTTCCCTGCCAGTCTGGGTGAATCTCAGGATCCCAAGCAAGGACCAGCCCCAGGGGAGGCTCTGCCCTGTGCCACCAAGTCACCAGCACTGACTTGGGAAGGGACGCTGGACTTTCCCTGAGCTTTGGGAAGGAAAGCTGGACTCTGGCTGGCCTCTGGGAAGGAAAGCTGGACTCTGGCTGGCCTCTGGGAAGGAAAGCTGGACTCTGGCTGGCCTCTGGGAAGGAAAGCTGGACTCTGGCTGGCCTCTGGGAAGGAAAGCTGGACTCTGGCTGGCCTCTGGGAAGGAAAGCTGGACTCTGGCTGGCCTCTGGGAAGGAAAGCTGGACTCTGGCTGGCCTCTGGGAAGGAAAGCTGGACTCTGGCTGGCCTCTGGGAAGGAAAGCTGGACTCTGGCTGGCCTCTGGGAAGGAAAGCTGGACTCTGGCTGGCCTCTGGGAAGGAAAGCTGGACTCTGGCTGGCCTCTGGGAAGGAAAGCTGGACTCTGGCTGGCCTCTGGGAAGGAAAGCTGGACTCTGGCTGGCCTCTGGGAAGGAAAGCTGGACTCTGGCTGGCCTCTGGGAAGGAAAGCTGGACTCTGGCTGGCCTCTGGGAAGGAAAGCTGGACTCTGGCTGGCCTCTGGGAAGGAAAGCTGGACTCTGGCTGGCCTCTGGGAAGGAAAGCTGGCCTCTGCCTGGCCTTTGGGAAGGAAAGCTGAACACTCCTTGAGCTTTGGGAAGGAAAGCTGGACTCTCCCTGACCTTTGGGAAGGAAAGCTGGACTCTGCCTGCCAGTGAGGATCCCAAGCAAAGCCCAGCCCAGCCGAAGCCCTGCTGGTGCCACACTCACCAGCTGGCTGTAGCCCAGCCCTCCCTCGGGGGGCCGGGGGCTGGTGCCCCTCTTGACCCTCTGCTGCTCGCTCTTGGCTGGCCAGGTGGGGAACATGGAGGGGTCGATGGGCAGCGGGGTCTCTCGGAAGTACTCGTGCTTCAGCCCGTCCTCGGCCGTGATCCGCCGCGCCGGGTAGTACGTCAGGAAACTGCCAAGGAGCACGGGAAAAAGGAGATTTAGCCCCCCAAAATTGTGAATTGTTCAAGGAATGCTGTTGAGGGGTTTGTGGTGTTTAACAGAATTCTGGCACTGGGTATTGGGGATGATTCTATGACTGGTGTTGGGTGGAATTCTTTAATTTGGTGTAATTCCATGAGAAGGTATTGGGTGTAATTCTGTTACTTGGGTATCGTTTTATTACTGGGTATTGGGTATAATTCTATTCATTTGGTATCATTTTATTATTGGACATTTTGTATTAATTTGGTTGAATTTTATTACACGGTATTGGGTATAATTCTATCAATTTGGTATAATTTTATTACTGGGTATTGGGCGTAATTCTATTCATTTGGTATCATTTTATTATTGGACATTTTGTATTAATTTGGTTTAATTTTATTACAGGGTATTGGGTATAATTCTATTACTGGTATTGGTAAAATTCTATTAATTTGGTATAATTTTATTACTGGGTATTGGGTAGAATTCTACTCATTTGGTATTATTTTATTATTGGACATTTTGTACTAACTTGGTATAATTTTATTACTGGGTATTGGGTATAATTCTATTAATTTGGTACATTTTATTACTGGACATTGGGTATTAATTTGGTATAATTTTATTACAGGGCATTGGGTATAATAATTACTTGGGTATCATTTTATTACAGTACATTGGGCATAATTCTACTACTTTGGTATAATTTCATTACTGGACATCTGATATAATCCTATTACTTTGGTATAACTTTATTTTTGGGTACAATTACACTAATTTGGATCCCCTGGAATTTGGCACCCACTTGTTCATGAGGTCGAAGCCCTGGTCAGAGAGCAGAGCCCCGAATCTCTTGCGCAGGTTGTTGTAGGGATATTCTGTGAAGGTCATTTTCTTCACTGCTGGCAGCTCGTTGTAACCAGGCCAGATCTTTTCACTGGGAGTACCCAGATCCTGCAAATTAAAATATCTCTTTAATAAACTCAGAGTGCAAGCTTTTATTTATTCATGAGGAGTTGGGAAGTATCCAGAGAAAACAGACGCAATAAATTGTGGTCTCAGGCTACTCAAAATGTGGTAAAGCAGATTAAATAACTTTTTATTGAGGCTGAATCTCTGCTAAAGAACAACAATCACTACTCCAATGCTCCTATTTCTAAAACCAGTCAAAATCCCATAATATTTTTAAAATTACCTTAAAAACTTTGTTAATCTGGTCGATTTCTGACTTCCCTGGGAACAGTGGCTTCTGTGTCAGCAGCTCCCCAAAAATACACCCCACTGACCACATGTCTATGGCTGTGGAATACTCCTGGAAAGAAGGGAAATAAAGTTACACCTCAGAAAAAATCAGAAAGATATTTTCACTGAGTTGTTTGGAGGGATCTTGTGGCTTC